ATATTTTTAATCCTCAGAACAAGATCTTTAAGACGATACTAAACACAAGTAAATTGTAGCGTGTTAACTTCATGAAAATTAGATATATATAAACATGTCAGTTAAGTACCGCGAATATTAAGTAACGCAAAACGTCTCCACATTTCTCAAGCTGTAGATTCGCTCCTGGAATGTCGGCCACAATAATAAAGACATATTTGTAATCCTCATAGCAAGATCTTTAATCTGATACCAAATACGAGTATATTGCAGCGTGTTAACTAGTCCAACACCCGGCGTATTTAGACGTTAGTGAAATAATGAAACATGACAACTTGCCTATTAATTAACGCAAAAATGCTCCACCTTTCCAAAGCTGTAGAACCGCTTCACGAATTTGGACCAAGATAATAAAACCATATTTTTAATCCTCAGAACAAGATCTTTAAGACGATACTAAACACAAGTAAATTGTAGCGTGTTAACTTCATGAAAATTAGATATATATAAACATGTCAGTTAAGTACCGCGAATATTAATTAACGCAAAAATGCTCTACCTTTCCAAAGCTGTAGAACCGCTTCACGAATTTGGACCACAATAATAAAACCATATTTGTAATCCTCATAGCAAGATCTTTAATCTGATACCAAATACGAGTATATTGCAGCGTGTTAACTAGTGCAACACCCGGCATATTTAGACGTTAGTGAAATAATGCAACATGACAACTTGCCTATTAATTAACGCAAAAATGCTCTACCTTTCCAAAGCTGTAGAACCGCTTCACGAATTTGGACCAAGATAATAAAACCATATTTGTAATCCTCAGAACAAGATCTTTAAGACGATACTAAACACAAGTAAATTGTAGCGTGTTAACTTCATGAAAATTAGATATATATAAACATGTCAGTTAAGTACCGCGAATATTAATTAACGCAAAAATGCTCTACCTTTCCAAAGCTGTAGAACCGCTTCTCGAATTTGGACCACAATAATAAAACCATATTTGTAATCCTCATAGCAAGATCTTTAATCTGATACCAAATACGAGTATATTGCAGCGTGTTAACTAGTTCAACACCCGGCATATTTAGACGTTAGTGAAATAATGCAACATGACAACTTGCCTATTAATTAACGCAAAAATGCTCCACCTTTCCAAAGCTGTAGAACCGCTTCACGAATTTGGACCAAGATAATAAAATCATATTTTTAATCCTCAGAACAAGATCTTTAAGACGATACTAAACACAAGTAAATTGTAGCGTGTTAACTTCATGAAAATTAGATATATATAAACATGTCAGTTAAGTACCGCGAATATTAAGTAACGCAAAACGTCTCGACATTTCTCAAGCTGTAGATTCGCTCCTGGAATGTCGGCCACAATAATAAAGACATATTTGTAATCCTCATAGCAAGATCTTTAATCTGATACCAAATACGAGTATATTGCAGCGTGTTAACTAGTTCAACACCCGGCGTATTTAGACGTTAGTGAAATAATGCAACATGACAACTTGCCTATTAATTAACGCAAAATGCTCCACCTTTCCAAAGCTGTAGAACCGCTTCACGAATTTGGACCAAGATAATAAAACCATATTTGTAATCCTCAGAACAAGATCTTTAAGACGATACTAAACACAAGTAAATTGTAGCGTGTTAACTTCATGAAAATTAGATATATATAAACATGTCAGTTAAGTACCGCGAATATTAATTAACGCAAAATGCTCTACCTTTCCAAAGCTGTAGAACCGCTTCACGAATTTGGACCACAATAATAAAACCATATTTGTAATCCTCATAGCAAGATCTTTAATCTGATACCAAATACGAGTATATTGCAGCGTGTTAACTAGTCCAACACCCGGCATATTTAGACGTTAGTGAAATAATGAAACATGACAACTTGCCTATTAATTAACGCAAAATGCTCCACCTTTCCAAAGCTGTAGAACCGCTTCACGAATTTGGACCAAGATAATAAAACAATATTTGTAATCCTCAGAACAAGATCTTTAAGACGATACTAAACACAAGTAAATTGTAGCGTGTTAACTTCATGAAAATTAGATATATATAAACATGTCAGTTAAGTACCGCGAATATTAAGTAACGCAAAACGTCTCGACATTTCTCAAGCTGTAGATTCGCTCCTGGAATGTCGGCCACAATAATAAAGACATATTTGTAATCCTCATAGCAAGATCTTTAATCTGATACCAAATACGAGTATATTGCAGCGTGTTAACTAGTCCAACACCCGGCATATTTAGACGTTAGTGAAATAATGCAACATGACAACTTGCCTATTAATTAACGCAAAAATGCTCCACCTTTCCAAAGCTGTAGAACCGCTTCACGAATTTGGACCAAGATAATAAAACCATATTTGTAATCCTCAGAACAAGATCTTTAAGACGATACTAAACACAAGTAAATTGTAGCGTGTTAACTTCATGAAAATTAGATATATATAAACATGTCAGTTAAGTACCGCGAATATTAAGTAACGCAAAACGTCTCCACATTTCTCAAGCTGTAGATTCGCTCCTGGAATGTCGGCCACAATAATAAAGACATATTTGTAATCCTCATAGCAAGATCTTTAATCTGATACCAAATACGAGTATATTGCAGCGTGTTAACTAGTTCAACACCCGGCATATTTAGACGTTAGTGAAATAATGCAACATGACAACTTGCCTATTAATTAACGCAAAATGCTCCACCTTTCCAAAGCTGTAGAACCGCTTCACGAATTTGGACCAAGATAATAAAACCATATTTGTAATCCTCAGAACAAGATCTTTAAGACGATACTAAACACAAGTAAATTGTAGCGTGTTAACTTCATGAAAATTAGATATATATAAACATGTCAGTTAAGTACCGCGAATATTAATTAACGCAAAATGCTCTACCTTTCCAAAGCTGTAGAACCGCTTCACGAATTTGGACCACAATAATAAAACCATATTTGTAATCCTCATAGCAAGATCTTTAATCTGATACCAAATACGAGTATATTGCAGCGTGTTAACTAGTCCAACACCCGGCATATTTAGACGTTAGTGAAATAATGCAACATGACAACTTGCCTATTAATTAACGCAAAATGCTCTACCTTTCCAAAGCTGTAGAACCGCTTCACGAATTTGGACCAAGATAATAAAACCATATTTGTAATCCTCAGAACAAGATCTTTAAGACGATACTAAACACAAGTAAATTGTAGCGTGTTAACTTCATGAAAATTAGATATATATAAACATGTCAGTTAAGTACCGCGAATATTAATTAACGCAAAACGTCTCGACATTTCTCAAGCTGTAGATTCGCTCCTGGAATGTCCACAATAATAAAGACATATTTGTAATCCTCATAGCAAGATCTTTAATCTGATACCAAATACGAGTATATTGCAGCGTGTTAACTAGTCCAACACCCGGCATATTTAGACGTTAGTGAAATAATGCAACATGACAACTTGCCTATTAATTAACGCAAAATGCTCCACCTTTCCAAAGCTGTAGAACCGCTTCACGAATTTGGACCAAGATAATAAAACCATATTTGTAATCCTCAGAACAAGATCTTTAAGACGATACTAAACACAAGTAAATTGTAGCGTGTTAACTTCATGAAAATTAGATATATATAAACATGTCAGTTAAGTACCGCGAATATTAAGTAACGCAAAACGTCTCCACATTTCTCAAGCTGTAGATTCGCTCCTGGAATGTCGGCCACAATAATAAAGACATATTTGTAATCCTCATAGCAAGATCTTTAATCTGATACCAAATACGAGTATATTGCAGCGTGTTAACTAGTTCAACACCCGGCGTATTTAGACGTTAGTGAAATAATGCAACATGACAACTTGCCTATTAATTAACGCAAAAATGCTCCACCTTTCCAAAGCTGTAGAACCGCTTCACGAATTTGGACCAAGATAATAAAACCATATTTTTAATCCTCAGAACAAGATCTTTAAGACGATACTAAACACAAGTAAATTGTAGCGTGTTAACTTCATGAAAATTAGATATATATAAACATGTCAGTTAAGTACCGCGAATATTAATTAACGCAAAAATGCTCTACCTTTCCAAAGCTGTAGAACCGCTTCACGAATTTGGACCACAATAATAAAACCATATTTGTAATCCTCATAGCAAGATCTTTAATCTGATACCAAATACGAGTATATTGCAGCGTGTTAACTAGTCCAACACCCGGCATATTTAGACGTTAGTGAAATAATGCAACATGACAACTTGCCTATTAATTAACGCAAAAATGCTCTATCTTTCCAAAGCTGTAGAACCGCTTCACGAATTTGGACCAAGATAATAAAACCATATTTGTAATCCTCAGAACACGCTCTTTAAGACGATACTAAACACAAGTAAATTGTAGCGTGTTTACCGTATAAAAACCGTACTATCTTGAATCCTGTGGTACCTTCACAGTCGACTTTGCACGGCTGTAGATTCGCTCCACGAATTTGGACCAAGATAATAAAACCATATTTGTAATCCTCAGAAAACGTACTTTCGGATGTTACCAAACACAAGTATTTTCCAGCGTGTTTATTTCTTGAAAATTAGGCCTTTTTAGATGTCAACATTTATGCATTGTAAACATCGCGCAATTATTTAACGTAAAGAGACAAAAGCGGAAGTAGTCTTTAAAAGGCTGTAGATTTGCTCCAAGACTTTCGACCAAAATAAAAATAGTATAATCCTTGTCTAAATAACTTGGTCTTTACAACGGCACCAAACACGTGTGCATCTTTTGCTTTTGTAGCAAAAAATACGGTTTTCTATTTTGTTTCTGAAACTGATGTTATTTAATAACATTAAAATGAATGTGGTGTCAACTTCACACTTTATGCTAATTTTGAATGTTGTGGTGAATCCTGTGGTGAATGTGAGGATGAATGTCAGGATGAATGTCAGGATGAATCCTGTGGTACCTTCACAGTAGTATGTTAACCGTGTTCCAGTTTTGAGGAAAATTGGCTCAACTCCTGGTGGACAGAAAACTTGTGTTCATATTCATCAAGTATTTCCTTACTTATACATACCTTACGATGGAACTAAACCCACAGATAAATATCTGAAACATTTTACGACAAGTGTAGACTTTGCTGTTCAAGTTGCGTTTGGTAGAACATCATCTTCTATGAAATATGTTCATAAAACTGAAATTGTTAAGAAAATGTAAGTTATTTTCCTTGTTTTCTCCTCATGTTGACAAAGCTTACTATTATTAAATGTTTTTACTCTCTTTCTTTACATCACAATGCAAAATCTTGTATTTTCGACCGAATAACGTTTCAATATTATTCACCCAAAATGATTTTATCTTTAGACCATTTTATGGTTATCATGAGAACGAAGAAGAGTTTATTAAGATGGAGTTGTACAATCCAAGAATGATTCCTAAGTAAGATATATTTTTCATGTTGTTCTAACATAGTACGACATCAAATTTTTTCAGTTTTTTCAGACTTGTTGATCTTCTTCAGAATGGAGCTATATTGAACAAGTCATTTCAACCACACGAAGCTCATGTTCCTTATATTCTACAGGTAATTATTGTTTTTTATTATTAATTAGGAAAAAACACATCTTTGATTGTTATAACCCAGACTGGAGTGGTTAGTTTGTAAACTTTGCACCAGACAGGTGGCAAGGCCTGCAAAGTTTGTTGTTTATTTCTTTAGAAATCAATCTCATTCATTGTTTTTCAAAGTAATTGATTAAAGCAATATTTATATTGTACATAGGAGTAAAAAATGGGCTGACTTTTCTACCGACATCAGAGATGCAACATTTGCATGTATAGGTGCCCACTTTGCTATAATTATACATCAGATCTCAGGTGCGCAATAAAAACATTCCATTATGGATTATAGCTGTAAATTTCATGTGCAAAACATTTTGTCAATAAAGTGAATGGTTTGAACACATTGTGGAAGTATAGGTGCATGTTTGTTGATGTTGATCATAAAGGATACTACAGTATTGAGAAGGACTGTTGGGGGTAGTCTTGATTGATGTTTTCACATCTAGATGAGATGATTACTGCTAACAATGTTAAAATGTCATTCAACACTAATGCCACTGACCTTCTTTAGTCTTTTCCTACCTGGATGGTCAACTTCTATAGATTTTAACTAAGTTACATTATAAGAATTTCGTTGAAGTATATCTTTTATTTTAGTTTCTAATTGATTACAATCTTTATGGTATGAACTTACTTCATGTAAGAAAAGTTCATTTTAGAGGAATTTCTTCAAAAACAGGAAAGTTTCATTATTGATTTTTTCAGCATTCTATAAAAATCTAACACCACAAATGATTATTTACCATCAAATTGAATTTTATAGATAAAAATCTTTCATCTAATAATAAATCAATTCCACTTCATGGTTCATCTCCAAATTCATTTCTCAATTTTCCTTCATTTCAACACTGGAATGAAGACACTATTCCTAGGTTTGTCTGATTCATATATTTTACACTTGAAGATTAATTGAAAACAAAAAGGATTTGTGTAAATCCTTAATCCTAAATTTGACACATGTGCGTATGATTTATCCCAAGATTTAGAGTCAATGCTCAATCCAGATTACAGAATTTATATTTAAAAAATTAGTTTAACTTTGGAATGATTCTTTGTGATAGCTATCTTTACAGTTGATATTCATCATTTTAATGTTTGTTATTTGTCATTATTTAGAAATTTATGCCTGGATCCTACTGTGAAAAAAGTCAGTCGTTGTGAACTTGAAGTTGATGTAGTTGCTGAAGACATCTTGAATCAAATAAATGTTGAAAGTAAAATTTACTTATCTTTGTGTCTTCATTTTGCTGTTTATACATCTTTAATGAGTTTATTATGTTTATGAAGGTTGTATTGGTCATAATCCTGGTATAACTGCTATGTGGGAAGATGAAAGACAACGAAGACGAGATATTGGACTATCTTCACAATCTGCTCTTCCTGTTTCACAAGGTAAGGTACAAAAAAATACATGTCACATCATTGTATAGCTCACAATACATTTCATGTATTTTATATTGTTATGGCATTCAGCGGCTGTGACATGTTCATCTCAGAATGATGTTGTTTTATAGTCCATAAAATTTCATGTTCTGTTAAAGATGTGTTCAACTTTTCCTTTATTAATTTTTGTTTACTTTATAGTTAACACTACACATAAAAATTCAACTTTTTTGTTGTTAGATCGTGTTGAAACACCCGTATTGAATCTTGAGAAAGAATTTAATGAAAAAATCAAGGAAATTATTGATGAAAGAAATAAAGTGATGTAAGATTTGATCTTGTGATGTTTAATGATTTAACTTTATATTTTTATAAATTTCAAATGAACTTGCAGTCAAAGTGAGTTGGAGACAATGGAAAAATCTCTTTCACCCGAAGACTTTAAAGGATTTTCTCAAAGTATTTTGTCACAAAACAAGCAACTGCAGTGTGAAGCAACAATAAACCAAGGTTTTGATGATTTTTGCCAACTTATTTTAAGTTATAATCATTCAATAAAATATTTCTATTTTTTTTTTCTGTTTTAGATGTGGATGTGGATAGTCCAGTTGTTGATCAGTCAGTTATAGATGTACTACAAGTTAGCCAGGCCAGCAATTCATGTATTATTAACGAAAATACTTCTTTCTCTCTCAAGGGCTCAAATTTTTATTAATATAAGACATTTATTTAGCTGGAGAGTTGGATAAAGAATTGGTGGAGATTTTAATGAGTTTGGATAAAGATGACAATGAAACACTGCTGCATGAATGTTCTCATATTGCGGGCTCACAAAGTAAGTATGAACACTCCATTATATGAATATTGTAATGAGATCAAAACTACCATAATTCAATATGGATATCAATGTTGATTGGCTACAGTTTTATTTGTGTTTAGTAAAATGTGTCTTATATGAAGTTTTTCAATCAATCTTTTTTATTTTATTTTTTTCTTTAGAAGGTAGTGATGATGAACATGATGAAGATATTGATGAAGATAAAGAATCAATATTAATGTCACAGCCATTTTGGAAAGATGATGAAGAGGAACATGATTCCCAAAGGTAAAAGTATCCATTTTTGTTTATAAAATAAAGACAATAAAAGGTGTGCGTTGATTTTTCTACAGTTGAGTTACCATTAGCTTGTGTAAATATATCTGAGCTCAGTGAACTAAAATCAATGAAAGAGAATTTCCAAATCAATCATAAATACATGCCACAGAAAAAATTACAGAGTGTCGCTCTCCGAGTCTACGACAGACAAATTGTGTCTCACCAATACCAATTTAAAGTTTTATATCAAACGATAGAGTTTAACGTTTTGAAACGTCTTTCCATACTTATATAATTTCAACATTTTAAGGTTGTTTATTAGATAAAAACAACATTTTCCATAACTTAACACGTATGCCTTAGCAACAATGAGTTAGACGTTAGTAACGTCAAATTTTGAAACTATTAACAAACGTTAATTGCAAATAGCTGTAAAACACTTGTTTGGTTTTAAATTTGTCTGTTTTGTACTACTGTTGTTTTATTAAACAATTAAATGACATTTTATTGCTTATACAGGCAAACATTTAGTGAGAACTTTTGAGCCTTTGACTTGCCTCTGCACTGATCAGCTCTCAAGTTCTCCCATAGGTCTCCTTGGTTTTTATAAACCTGTGAAAACTCTGTAAACATCTTAAATGAAAAACAATCAATCTGCTCTAAAGTTTTGAGTGGCTATCTTCTTCACTTGTAGTTCGGAGGATGAAGAGGAAATGGACTGGAAACCACCTTTACGTATGCCTCAAGTGGATGGTCCTGGTGATGACGAGGACTCTGCGGGACATGGTAGCACGTGTACAACTGTATCACGTGGTTTTAAGGATAAAAATTGGAAAATGAAAATCGAGTATGACGACGACAATGATTTTCAAAGTAAAGAAAAATCAAAAAGTAAAAATTTAAAGAAATGTAAACGAGGTGGAAGAAAAAGAAAAATTGCTCAACTTAATGTGTTTGGTGGCTGTCATAAAACTCAAAATGACGTTGATACATCACACACATTTCTTCTCGGCAAATGATGACGAATGACAATAAACGTCGAGAAACGATGGCACCAACAAGTCCATTTCGAGGAAGTAAGAACAATGTTAATGAAGAATTCCCTGATTTCCATTCATTTTATCCATCAAATAAACGAGGGAGATCTGGGGAGGGTTATTCTATGGGTTCTAAAACAAATACAATGAAAAACGTGAAGATGATGGATAAAGAAACTGTTTCTAATGATTTAAAAAAAACATCAAAAGGAAAGAAGAAGATGTCTGGATTAAAGAAGGGAAATGAGATATTCCGTAATCTTGGCGTTTCAAGAAATGTCAGAGAACTTTTACGTTGTACTGAGAACAATTCTAGTGGATCTCAAACGTCAGATTTTGAACTTTGGTTAAGCGAAAGCTCCTGTGATGATCACGATGATGATGATTTTAAAGCAACTTTCATCAAAAATTTTAATAAAAATAAAGTATTTCAGAGTTCGTTTGGCACAAATGAAGCGAATGAATGTGGGAAAAATAATTTGAAGACGAGAACCAAACTTATGTCAAAAAAATCAAATGTTAGCTCAATTGAATGTATGGAAACTAGTTCTGTGTCTTGTAAGGAAAATCTCGCTGACTTATTTGATCCTGACAGTCATGGCCCGAGCACAACTTCAACTTTAGGACAAGAATCTTGTTTGTATGGATATAGTTTTACAAATAATTTGAAAGGAACAAGAAAATCAGAAAAGTCTCCCTGTTTACAGTTTACTTTAAATAAAACTGAAAAGTGGTGACCAAAGACGATAGTTCATCTTGTCATGATGCTGTCTCTGTTGACAAGAAATCGATTGACTTGAATAGAAATGATGTCAAACGTGACGTGGAAATGTCTTCAATTGTTGAGAAAAATCCAATTCAAGATGTCTTACAAATGGACGGAAAATATCGTGGTGATTTGATAACTTTTCAAAATGAAAATGTTTGCAAGAATTTAGTGAAAAGTTCTGGGATTAATCAAATAAGTTTTGTAAGGATAACGCTGTCCAAAAGTACAATGAAAACTCACAATACTGCGAGAAAACAGAGGTGACAAAACAGGAAATGAGAATAATGCCATTGCAAAGAAACATAGTGGTTATAATGATGATTTTAAAGGAAAGAAGAAGCGTGAACGTCCTAAGAAAAATCTACGAAAGCTAAAGTCATCGATTGTCGGAGTGAGACGAATGATAATAAAAAACGCAGAGATTGTGATTTAAGAAACAATAAAATGAGAAACAGGAAAAATTCTTCAAGAGTTTTAATGGATGCTTGCGTACGGCTGGAGAAGATTTCTGTTGAAGATTTAAAATTTAAAACGTCGTCTAAATTTGCGGAGCATCCTAAAGATGTTGTTAATGGAGGAAAGAACAAAAATGATGAAGATTTAGAGTTAAAAGATATGGAAGATTTTATACATATGAAAGATAAATTTACATCATTGCAAAGCTATGAGAAGAATACTTTAGTTGAGAAAAATCATTCTGGTTATGGAAACACACCTTCATTTTCTTCTTTTCTACAAAACGCGTCCGCTGACTCTATTAACGTATCTTGTGAGGATTGTATGATAGATGTGGATAAGCTTGAACTTCAAAGGATTGAGAAGTCCTTTGATGAACCTGGCTTTATTGAGGATAATATTTCACTGAATGATAAGGTTGACAAATCATGTGGGAAATTAAGTGATTTTCAAATCACATTTATCGACGAAAGTAATGTGTTTTTATCGTGCGGTGATATCGTAAAAAAAGATTTTATCAACTCTCTTGAAACAAAAACAACTAAAGATCGCCGTGTTCACACTATATCTTCAGTATTGGAGTCGTTAAATAGTGGCAACGATAATGATTTTAATGATTTTGTTGTGGAAGATTGCTCAAGGAATGTTGAATTGGATTTTGAAGATGATTTGTTTGACTTAACACCAAACCAAACTGAAAAGAATTTTAATCAATACTTGGAACATGTTGATCACAGATCTGTGTGTAGTGAATCTAAAAGTGAAAATCTTATTGATTCACCTTCAGAATCTTTGTGTTTGACCGATGAAAAACATCCTGGGTACTCTAGTGGAAATTCTATGGTGTTAAGGCTTCCACCAGATGAGGAAAGCTTTGAATGGAATGTTGATGAGTCATTTGACGGTCACCAGTCCTCTGGTACGAGTAATAACCTCGGAAGTCCTGATAGTTGTACAGTTTCTGTTGTTACCGAGGTCAGTGACTTAAATTTAGAAAGGACTGGGGAAAGTTTTAGTAAGAATAATGTAATAAAGGGTGAAGAAGTTGTTTGTGATGTTTCTAACATGGAAATATCGTGTGATTTACACAATAAAGAACATATTAATGGCGCTTTTGTGGATAATGATGGTTGTAATCAGGTTCCTGTGGATAATGATGGTTGTCGTCAAGTATTTGAGGATAGTGATGGTTATAATCAACTATATGTTAATAAAGATAGTTCTTACCAAGTATATAAAGACCAAAAAGAACCCCATTCAAAAATCAAAAAGATCAACTTATCCCAGGCAGAAGGTAGTTATGAATTGAAGATTTGGAAACCAACAATGATGCCTCCATCACCAAATTATGTTAAAGAAACACGTCATATTTACAATCTACCTCATGTTCGTCATCAAAAAGCGTTTTGTAGTGATTCCAATGATTTACCGTTAACAACGAAGTAAGGAATTTAGTTTCTTGTTTTAAAATGACATTGTTTTTGTTTATTTTGTCTTTTCGTTTAAATGCAAAGATGTTTGAAATGTATTTTTTAAAATGGCGTGCTCTTTAATAATTTTGAATGTTTGCACTGGCGAAACCAGCCCGGACATTTGCCTATACAATGCAAATTTTTCAGCAAATTTTTTTTTTCTTTTGAAAATTAGCAACTAGCAACTTTGACAAAATTGTTTGCATTGTAGGTGTAAAAAAACGGGCTGGATTCGTCCCTGAATGTTTCTTATATGATATGGTTTTAGGGTTGTCGGTGGACGGCGTCTTCATTTGTCTTCATTATCGGTAAGCTCTCCATTCTTACTTTTATTTTTGTTGTGTACACTTTAGTCTTAGTGAAATTTTGTCATGGAATTTTATCTTATATTATGAGCAATGAAAATTGGAGATTAAAAATCAAAAACCTCCATGTCGAATGCAATGTTATTTTTTGTCTTTATCTTCTAACTTTCCATCATAATCCCCCTCTCTCTATGCTAGTTGGGGACTTAGTCTTATCATGTCCCTCCTTTCTTTTCATAGTTGGTTAACTATCCTTTAATCCAAGAGTGTTATGACAATTCCATCGTTTCCGTTGATAGTTGGTTATTCATCCTTTAATTTTGGAGTGTTATTTTGTTTCGCAGGTAAAGAGCTTCCTGAATTCAATCCTCGCGGGAACTTCAGGACTTTGAGGGAACTCCAAGACCAATGTGTATCCAAGATGGACAACAGTTTACTCATGGACTGTCTAGCTTCAGACGGTAAAATTAGTAATTTTCCTCAATATAAGGGTATACCTGGAAAACTAAAGGCCGATCTCCACTTCGACCGTACCGTAGCGTAACGTAGCAAAACGCGACGTAGCGTATCGTACGCATATACGTGTTACATTCTCCACTTTGGCGGTTTTAACGAACCGTACAGAAACGAAGCATGGCGCGAATTTTGATTATAATCATAACATGGCGGTTGTCAGTAAAAACACACTTCTTCTTTTCTTGTTAAAAAGAAGGATGACTAAAGGAAATAAAAATAAAAAGTCAGTATGGGTACGAAAAATATTTCAAGAACGCAAAACTAAAGGAGAATTCTATTTATTAGTCCAAGATTTACGTTTATTTGATGAAGAATTTTTTTTCAAATATTTTCGTATGACTCCTGTTCAATATGAAGAACTTTTGACTATGATTGCTCCAGAGATACAGAAGTCTTGCATAACTCGGGAATGTATAGGGCCTAGTGAGCGACTTTGTGTAACACTCAGGTATCTAACTACAGGAGATTCTCAAACAACCATAGGGATGAACTTTCGAATGAGCCCAACCACTGTTGGACGAATCATCTTTTCAACATGTGAAGCACTGTGGAAAGTACTGTCATTGGTATTCATGAAATGTCCAAGCAATGAGGCAGAGTGGAAGTGCATAGCACAGGGGTTTGAAATTAAATGGAATTTTCCACACTGCATTGGTGCGCTTGATGGAAAACACGTCGTGATGCAGGCACCAGCTAACTCTGGATCGATGTTCTTTAATTATAACATTGATATTGGTGACTCAGGACGGAATAGTGACGGTGGTGTATTTTCTTACAGTACAATGGGTGAATCAATTAAGAAAAACAGTTTAGGCATCCCTAGGCCCGAGGCATTTCCTTCCACTCAAAAATGCTATCCATTTGTCATAGTGGCAGATGAGGCGTTTCAGTTACAGCAAAATATCATGAAACCGTACCCTAGACAAGCCTTGGGAATATCTGAGCGGGTATTCAATTATCGGTTGTCTCGAGCGAGGAGGGTAATTGAAAATGCGTTTGGAATTGTAGCAGCACGATTTCGGGTATTTCGTCGACCAATTCACGCCAGAGTTGAAATGGTTATTCAAGTTACAAAAGCAGTAATCGCACTGCACAATTATCTTATGGCTGAAAGGTCTTTTTCGCACAGCACAAAGTACTGTCCAGCTGGTTTCGTGGACAACGACACAGAAAACGGAAGAGAGCTTGGAGAATGGAGAAAAGTGACACAATCAGATGAGGGTTTAAGAGATGTCAGCAACGCTGGGTCAAATAACTACTCTCGTGATGCAAAGCTTGTTAGAGAAAATTTTAAAAACTACTTCATGTCCCCAAAAGGACAAGTACGCTGGCAGTGGAACGCAGTACATGCTACAGTAGATTGTTTTCAAAACGACGATTAACTAAATCAAAGAATCATTTATTAGTTTTGTCACTGTTTTTATAACATAACGTGGTAGTTAACGCATGCAAACGTAAAGTTATTTGTAACAATAAATTTCTTGAAAAGTTTATGGAAAAACATTCTGTTACATTTCGTCATCATCTTCAAACTCAGCAAGAACTTGCAATACTTTGATCTTAGCCAATTTGTTTTTCTTTCCAGTCAAATTCCTAAAGGTAGTAACCAAACTGGAACAGAAAAGAATGTCCTGGTCTTCTGGGTTAGTTGTCTTTTTGAATCACCATTTTAGCATATGCTATATCATTGGCAAGGCTTAAGGCCAAAAGATCGTCAATCTGATCTGATCGCCTTTTCCAAGTCTTTGAAGAGGTTTTGAGTCTGAAATTTCTAGTTTTGCATGGGAATTGTCCACAGTGATTGGTGAAAATGATGTAAATGGTCTATCCTCATCAGTGGAGAGCACATCAGGATTCTCGGCAATTTCAATTGGGATGTTGGTTTCAGTTTTTCATCCAGTCATCACATCATGCAAAAAGGACAACTCAACGAAATATTCACAAGTTGGCAATTTCTTACTTGCCCCACTCCCTGATCGTGTCGCCAACTCTCGCTTTTTAATGCATCTTCTATAATTATCCTTCAGCCTGTCAAACTCTTTACAAACTACATTCTCTAGATTTAGAAAAATAAAAACCTGTATATCAAACTTTGTTCAGTGCATTTGTTAGAAGATGTTATACCCTTCATAAACATAGTTGTTTAGTAGCCAATTGCAGAGCCATAGCTGAAACAATAAATGGGGAGGAGGTGTCTTTATTCTTATATTCAGTAGAGTCAGACTGATTTCTTTTGAAAATGATTTAGCTTTCTAAAGAAATCACTCAAGCTCAAATAAATATATGAAAAAACAAACCTCCCCTCTCCCAATTTAGTTCTCTAGCTATGGCCCATGCCAATTGACTTAGTTTTAACACCAATAAGAAGGAATGCACAAGTATTTCTTACAGTCTAACACCAGACAAGACCTTCTTAGGATGTGAATGGTTTGCACCATATACAAAATGTAAGAAGAGTATCATAAGGAAATTGCAATATAAGGATGGTTACAGGTACAATGCAGAAAAAAATAGTGAGCTACACTAAATTTAATCTGGAATGTTGCAAAATGGACATATTTATTCTTATCCATGAATATCAGCTTCCATATAAAGCTCATTTAATACTATCATTTCTTAATTAACTGGCATTTTGATGATCAGTGTCATGTCACTGTGATAATTGCATGGGTGAGTATCACATTTGAATAATATAATGTTTTAATAAATAGAAGGTGTAATATGTACTGCTTGCTTATTTTTACTCATAACGGCTCTGTTGTATAAGTTTTGTAAACTGAAGTATTGAATAAAATAAAGCAAAACCCACATAACTAGATATTTCTAATCAAACACATTTAAATAGACATAAATTTATACCCAACAAGTGGCAGTTAATAGCAATACAATTTTCACACTCAATAGTAAATGTAGGACACACTTCAATTGCAAAAGCTGGACCAAGAACTGTAGTGACTACATAAATGTATATTGTTAAGCAATGTATATTGTTAAGATAACATACCAGGTACACACAAAGCAGCAGAAATTCGTCGCAATGCTTCCAGTTTCCTTGGTTTGTCTTTATGCAACTTTGACGAAACGTTCCAGATGCAAGGGTACTTTCGCACTTCTTCGATTAAGTTAATCAAAAATGGAGGTTCTTGTACATTTATAGCGCGAGCAGTAGATTCGATGTTACTTCTATTGAAAGATTCCGCCACAGATGCCTCTGAGTTTTCTTTTTCTCTGGAGAATTCGTTTATATTGTCTTGCCATTCCTCAAACGACTCCATTTTGAAAAAAAAAAGCCAACTTGAGTAGAAAACTTGTTATTTCATTGGTTCAAATCAAACGTAGTACGAATTCGTTTCAAAAATGTTGACAGTCGGCGAACTCTGGTTTTGATACGCGTATTAAACAGAGCCCTCTATAGCAGGGGTCTCCAGGCCCGCGGGCCAGATGCGGCCCGTTGGGTCTCTCAATCCGGCCCGCAGAAGCACTTAAGAAAAATAATATTATTATTAAACAAAATAAACTTTGTGCAGAAAGTCACGTCATGTCGCAAGCCAACTAGCAAGAGTGGCTTACGTCAATTTTCTCCCAACTTCCTACTTCCGTTTCAAGCACATTGCGAAATTTAAAAGCTGAAGGATAAAGTGGAAATTTTTTATATTCTTCGGCCCTCAACATGCTGGATGAAAGTTCATGTGGCCCTCTGGCTGTAAAGTTTGGAGACCCCTGCTCTATAGTATAAGAGTTGGGACATCTATTGTTATCCGTTTAGCTTACGTTGATTGGGCAATATTGATCACCTGATCAATTTCCGCCAATTGGTTCCTAGTTTTGAAATTTTAGCTAGTGTTTATATAGCAATTGCTGCTAGTAATACAGTATTTTGAGATAATATTGCGTTTTTTTATGGATAAGTGTGTAATAACTGATTGTTGAAGGCAACTAAATGTCATTACATATCGTATAAATCGAGGATTACGAAAAAAATGAAAGAAATGCCTTTACGTCGAAATTACGAAATTTGATTGCGTATGGTGATTGTTGTGCTGAACTGCTTTTGATATAAGGTTCAATTAACTGACTCAAGTAGAGAAACATTTTTGGGCCAAATAACATTGCAAAATTCGTGCTGATGCAGTTTCAATAGTTTTCTTACTCCAAGCTTGTTTTTTAATCGAAGATGATTTCTCATTGTGTTCTGAAATTGGTCAATCTACAAACCTCTCAATTCTCAGCCACTTCCATACTAAAACAACTACACCAAATCACAGAAACTCTTATGATTTTCCATGTTGTATTTTGTATTTTTAGTTCATCATTTAAAAATGAAGTAATTATAATTAGGATATTCACTGAAACAGCTGAGTACAATATATTTTTGGTATTGAATTGTACAAATGTACCCTACTTCTGTAGCTCAAAGTAGAACATTACTTCTCTTCTAGACTTGTTGATATTTTAATTGCAGGTTTTGGTTTATAAGATCACAGAGGCATATCTCAATAATTTCAGCTATTTGGGCTTTTTAATGTATATTACAACTGCCGTGTGGTTGCCGGCTTAGAATTGCGCCAACGTATCCTCTGCGTGTCGTAAAAGACGACTAAAAGGGGTTGGTGTAAGGAAGGGCATCCTACCGTAAAACTTTTGCTCCAACGAAATTCATGAACTTTGGAAAAGCAGATATGGCCCCCAGTCCCCGGCAGCCCTTCAGTGGGCAGGGGGTGCGAAGAAACTCCGGATCGAATGTTGGTGGAAGTGTCACCCTTCGGGTAGGCACAGTGAACGTTGAGATAATGAAGGGAAGGAGTGCAGAAGTGGCGGACATGTTGAAGAGAAGGAAAGTTGATGTGTGTGGGTTTCAGGAGGTAAGGTTTAAAGGTGAAGGTACGAGAGTCATAAAGGGTGAAAATAATGGAGCGAGATTTAAGTGGTTTTGGAAGGGAAACGGAAGTGGCACGAATGGTGTTGGCTTCGCGATAAGAGAGGATCGGGCGAAGTCGGTTGTAGCAGTGAAGAGAGTTTCGGACAGAGTCCTGAGAGTTGATGTAGTTATTGAGGCCGAAGTTGTGAGTTTCGTTGTGGTGTATGCTCCGCAGGTTGGACGAAGTGCGGAGGAGAAGGAAAAGTTCTACGACAGCGTGTATGCAGTGAGAGCAGACATTAGAGGGCGATGTGTGATGCTTGGTGATTGGAAGGGTCATGTGGGAAGCGTAAGAAAAGGATACTGTGCGCATGGAGGTTTTGGAGTTGGTGATATGAATGCTGAAGGCGAGGCGATATTGGGTTAAGCAGTTGTGGGATGGTGGTAGTGAATACGTGCTTTATAAAGGAAAAGCGACGTATGAATCTGGTGACAGTAGGACGGTGGTGGATTATATACTGGTGAATGAAGAAGAGAGGAAAACGTGAAGGATGCAAAAGTAATTGCAGGAGAAGAATGTGACCAGCACAAGCTGCTGGTCATGGACTGGAAAATCAGGAAGGTGAAGAGGAGAAAGGTTGAGGGTAAAGGCAGGCAGGCTATGGAATTACGATCGAATGAAGGAAGCAGTGTTTCCGTGACGAAATTGCGACATTGAATGTTGAGGTGAGACGGGAGGAGCGATGGACGTGCTGGAAAGGGTGTTAAAGGCAGCGGAGATATGAAATAAAGGCGGTGTAGTAGAAGAACAGGCATGGTGGTGGGATCAACGAGTCAGCGAAGTGATTGGCGCGAAAGTTGCATTTAAAGGTGGAGAAAGTCGCGGACTGAAGCAGATAGGATCGATTACATCCGGTTCAAGAAAAAAGATGAAAGCATCAGAAAGAGCCTCGTAAAATGCAGGAGAATGGACGAAAAGCGTTGTTTAGAACGGCTAGAAGGAACAAGAAGGAGAACGATATTTTGGTGCTCGGCGTGCAGAACCACGATGGGGAGTTGAAGGTGTTATTGGAAGACAGGTTAGAAGTGTGGAGGGCGTACTGTGACCGTTTGATGAATGTAGAGAATGAGTGGAATGGAGAAGTTGAAGCGGATGAAGTTTTGGGGCCGTGGGAAACAGTGACTGTTGATGAGGCGGCGGCAAGATGAAGAAAGGAAAGGCGAGGGACCGAGTGAAGTGGGTAGCGAAATGTTGGACAATGAACTATGCGTGAGAGTTGTGTAATGTAGCGAACGAGGTTTTGAGGGGCTCAAAGATGCCGAGTACATGGAGAAAGAGTCTAGTGGTCCCGCTGTACAAAGGAAAAGGAGCAGCGACGGTATGTGGGAATTACAGGACTATTAAGCTGATGGAGCATGCGTTGAAGATAGTAGAGAGAGTGTTTGAAAGAAGGTTGAGAGAAGTTGTTCGGATGGGGGAAGAGCAGTATGGATTCATACCGGGGAGAGGAACGACGGATGCGTGTTTTGTGTTGAGGCAGCTGCAGGAGAAATTTTTGGAGAAGGACAGAGAATTGTATATGGTGTTTGTAGATTTGGAGAAGGCGTTTGATAGAGTTCCGAGAAAGGTGATCGAGTACGCGCTGCGTAAGAAAGGTGTGACAGAGAATATGGTTCGGGCAGTTATGGAGACTTATGAAGGTGTAGAGGCGGTGGTTACGGAGGAAGGTGTTAGATCTGGTGTTTTTGAGGTAAAAGTTGGTGTTCATCAAGGTTCAGTCTTGTCGCCGTTACTGTTTGCTTGTGTGATGGATGTACTGACAGAGGAAGTGAGAAGAAAAGAAGGATGCTGGTGTTTGTTGTATGCAGATGACATTGTCTTGGTGGCGGAGTCGAAGCAGAAAGTCATGGAATGGTACCGAGAATGGAAAACGGCAATAGAAGTCAAGGGACTGAAAGTGAATGAGGCAAAGACGAAGGGCATGAGATGCTCGAGGCAGGTGGAGGTGAAGGACAGTGATAAATGGCCATGTGGTGTGTGGGAAAAGAGTTGGAGTGAATTCGATAATGTGTGGAAATGCAGTAAGTGGTTCATGGAAGATGTTCAGGTGTCCGTGGTGCATTGACAAGAGTAACTGATTTTGAGTGCGGGACGTGTCGAAGTGGTGGGCGATTCGCGATTGAACGGTTTGAACTGGGTGACGTGAGTTTGGAAGGTGTATCGGAGTTTAAATATCTGGGCAATGTGTTAAATGATGGTGGAGGGTGCGAGCAAGCGGTGAGGAACAGAGTTCAAGCAGCGTGGTGGAGTTTAGAGTTGTCGGGAATGTTGTGCGGAAAGTCGACTTCGTTGAAGCAGAAGGGAGAATTGTACAAGGCATGTGTTAGAAGTGTTTTGGGATATGGAGCAGAGTGTTGGGCGCCGAAAGCAGAGGAACTGAGAAGATTGGCGTCGACGGAAAGGAGAATGCTTAGGATGATGTGTGGTGTAACGTTGATGGATAGGATTCGAAGTGAAGAGATTAGAGAAAGAGTTGGTGTTGAGTGTATCGAGAATTGGGTAAGGCGCCAGCGTTTGAGGTGGTTTGGGCATGTGGAAAGGAGGGAAGAAAGTGCTGAAATTCGTACAACGTTGCATATGAATGTTGATAGAGTCCGCAAACGAGGTAGACCGAGAAAGAGATGGATGGATGCTGTGAACAGTGATATGAAGGCGATGGGTATAGCGAGAGATATGGCGAGAGATAGAGACGTTTGGCGTAGAAAAATTCATGGACCGGTCAACCCCCTCGCGGGGATTAATACTGGCCGGTATACAAATGTTGTTTGTTTGTTGTATTACAACTGTTGCTGCCTTTCTCATATATATTAAAATATTGCCGGCTTTCTGATATATATTTAGGTGCTGCTAGCTTTTTGATATATATATTTCACTGGCAATACAAGGCATAGAATTTGAACAAACGGGGCTGAGCTCCCTCCAACACACCCCTGTTTGATCATTAAACACATATAGAAGTTTTGTCATTCCTCAACCAATAAATTTAACTCTTTGCTAAATTAAAGATTGGATCAGACTCATATGCTGTATAAAAGACTACAAACAGTAGCATTTATAGCAAACAGACTGTTCTTCAACAACAGAATATATTATAGAAATAATATATTCATTTTAAAGAAATGCTTCACCAAAATTTTCAGCAGAATCCCTAACAAACTTTATTAGAAATAAACTTTAATACTTTATAAAGTGATAAAGGCGAAATAACTTCATATAAAGGAATAAAACGTTTAAGGTCAAATGCATCTTGGTCAAATCATTGCATATTTCAATAACTAAAAGTAAAAGTCTGTCATTTCTGCTGAGCAAGAAAATTTTGTGATCTTTCAGAATAAAAAATATCATACTTGGATTAAATTGGGGGGCATAAACCACTCACTACCATTAAATTATTACAAATCTTGAACACAAATCTTTCCGGACCAAAACTGCATGATTACTATGATTCGAAGTTTCGAACAAAGTCTTGTCCAAGTATTTGATAACACTGATGCCAGGATAACATTGCCGCTTGCCACCAAGCTTAAGTATCTTGAAAACTTGTTACAGAGTCGGAACATAAGCCGAGAAAACACGTTCACGTACGAAAATACTTCTTACAATGGGTCACGGTCAATTTGAAGCACGAACTAGTGAGATTGATGCTTCTAAAATTGTTGTTGCCGAAGGACCTTAAGCTATGATTTCTTTAGTGCTTGGGGAATCGTGGCCGTTGTATGGCAGCGAAATCCTACATTCCTGCAAATATATTTCAATAGACAAAAAATCTGTAGCCATAAGGCGCCATACTATTATTTACTTTATCATAAACAAATGTTTGGGGCTTTTCAGTTTATGATCATTGATCATTCAATCATTGGACAGTGATACTACATATTGTTTAAGATTTGAGAAAACTAACATTGATTACATGAGAAGCTGTTTACTATAACCTGTGATTTTGAGTCTTCTGATCCAAGAAGCTTTTTATTTTGACAATTTGACTGGAATGGTATTAAACCTGAGTATTTCACATACATGAAATGTTGTCCCATGTCACATATTGTCCCTTTTCTAACTGAACACCTCATGTAGAGATGTAAAGGTGTGTTAATCTACGCCTCATACCAGATTGTCTGCCATAAATTCCAAAGGGCTATTGATGTATGAAAAGCATTTTCTATGAAGTAAAAATGTCTTTCTATGTATGCAGATAAACCTTGAAATTTGGCAAAACAGCAAAGTATTTTTCATGATCACTAGGTAATTTTTTGATGATCATTATAATTTCTAAACTAAATTATTTCAGATTTACATTTAAACGAGCTTTGATCATATGAAAAGATATTTATCATAACCAGTAAGCATGACACATGAACCAATTTTAACATTCATGTAATTATATAATTAAAGACATGTTGGTTACATTCTGTTTGTATTTGCAAATACAATGCTACTAGTGATTGCTATATAGCACACCTTGCATATACTTACAGAAGATAATAGTCAAAAGAAATGCCTAATAAAAATTTATGGCATTAAGCTGTCCTTAACTGTAAATTTTCACTCTGATAATTTTTGCTTAATCTTTGGCAGAAAAAAATTTTTTGAGTTTTTCTCAAAAGTGAATTTGCTGGCACTGATGTGGAGATGGGTAAAGGGTTACAATAAACTTGCATGGTTTGAAGTCTGAGCTTTTCTATATCTATGAACTGTCACTTGTAGTACCAAATTTCTAACTTAACTCATTACATAGAGGTTTGAATGGGTGTCTCTAGGGGGGTCTATGCCTGAAAACTTGGTAGAAATTTTTAAAAACTATATCTGTTTTTGAATAGCATTATTGTAAAATAAATTTTACGTTCCTAGACATGCTAATGAGCCATATATTTGGCATGATAATGAGCCTAAATATTTGGCAAAACATTCAAGTATTGTTCACTTCATTTTTTTTTGAAAAAAACGTAAGCAAAATTTTTTGTTTTTACGCAAAAACGATGCCCACAAAATACATTTTGTATTGCTCTAAAACGCTGAAAATGGCATTTTCAAGGATCTAAAATTCAAAATTTCTCAGGGGAGAATGCCTCAGACCCCCCTAGGTGCAGAGCGCCTCCGACGTTTTATGACTGATGTTTGAAAAATCCTAGATCCGCCCCTGAATTTTGTTCATAACAGCGAGACGATAAAATGAGATGAGCAAATTTTATATTTTAGCTATAATTGAAATATATACGACAGGGATTGATTTAGAAATTTTATTGCAAATTCAATTTCAGTTCAACTCAATCAACTCATAAATGTTGTACACATTTAACTATTATTAATTTTCAGTATTGACATGGGTGTACGGGACCAAAAACATCAAGATGCGGACACTATTTTGCTCAACGAAAGCGGAAATCCTTTACATGCAGTGTCGTAGTTAGACATGAAGAAAGACATGAACTTCTGGGGAGCATATTTTCTTACGCCAAACGCGTGAGCCTTTCTAGCGAGGTCTATAAAGTCATGCTCACCCTTGAAAGTCTTGCTCACCCTTGGAAAATTTCTAAATCTGGAGTTCGTCAATAACGATTACCAGTGTTTCTAAAGTGTGATTTTCCATAATTCTGAAAGTTATTTGCGACAGGAAAAATATCATTTTTATTGTTTACTTAATCAAAGCTGCTGCCAAAATCCTTGGATTTAATTTTAAAATTGCTTTGTCAGAAAATTTCACCTAGTTTAGTAAGGACGACTTTCAAAGTAATTACAGCATTACTGAGGTAAATTTAGTGTCTTAAATAGCAGTGCCTCTATCAAAATTGTGAGGATGTCGTGATATTGTGATGATAAATTTATTCTCCTTGGTGACATGTCAATAAATAAAATGTTCAAATGAGTTTTAACCAAAAGCATAATTTTATCACTTATAATGTCGGATTTTTCTTTACAATAACTACGAAAAGTGGGCCGTTCAGATTGTGGGCATACATGCTTTAGCTTGGTAAGCTCCCCCCCCGACTTTTAATTGCAGCGTTTGTTTGAGGACAGTGTTAACTTAGAGATTAGAGGGAGGCCTTTATCCAATCTAATCCCAAAAAATAATTACGTTGATTTGGTATAAGGGTTTGCTTATAAAATCTTTGATTGGCTAATCTATAATCTATAACAAATATGGCGGATCAACTCTCGTCTTTCGTCATTCAAAATTTTAATTGACGATATTTTTCTTACTTGGAACAACAGAATGTTTTCTGTTGGGATTGTAGATGCAGATTTTTACGTGGGAAAAACTATAGATGGCTTAAATATTTTGTTTTCTAAATTTCGCGAGGGGAATGTTAACCGTGTTCCAGTTTTGAGGATATTTGGCTCAACTCCTGGTGGACAGAAAACTTGTGTTCATATTCATCAAGTATTTCCTTACTTATACATACCTTACGATGGAACTAAACCCACAGATAAATATCTGAAACAATTTACGACAAGTGCAGACTTTGCTGTTCAAGTTGCGTTCTGTAGAACATCATCTTCTATGAAATATGTTCATAAAACTGAAATTGTTAAGAAAATGTAAGTTTTATTTTCCTTGTTTTCTCCTCATGTTGACAAAGCTTACTATTATTAAATCTCTTTTACTCTCTTCTTTACCTCACAATACAAAATCTTCTATTTTCGACCCAACAACGTTTCAATATTATTCACCCAAAATGATTTTATTTTTTAGACCATTTTATGGTTATCATGAGAACGAAGAAGAGTTTATTAAGATGGAGTTGTACAATCCAAGAATAATTCCCAAGTAAGATATATTTTTCATGTTGTTCTAACATAAAACGACATCAAAATTTTTCATTTTTTTCAGACTTGTTGATCTTCTTCAGAATGGAGCTATATTGAACAAGTCATTTCAACCACACGAAGCTCATGCTCCTTATATTCTACCTGTAATTATTGTTTTTTATTATTAATGAGGAAAAACACGTCTTTGATTGTTATAACCCAGACTGGAGAAGTTATTTTGTAAACTGTGCACCAGACAGGGGGCAAGGCCTGCAAAGTTTGTTGTTTATATCTTTAGAAATTAATCTCATTTATTGTTTTTCAAAGTAATTGAATGAAGCAATATTTGTATTGTACATAGGAGTAAAAAATGGGCTAACTTTTCTACCGACATCAGAGATGCAACATTTGCATGTATAGGTGCCCACTTTACTATAATTATACATCAGATCTCAGGTGCCCAATAAAAACATTTCATTATGGATTATAGCTGTAAATTTCATGTGCAAAACATTTTGTCAATAAAGTGAATGGTTTGAACACATTGTGGAAGTATAGCTGCATGTTTGTTGATGTTGATCATAAAGGATACTACAGTATTGAGAAGGACTGTTGGGGGTAGTCTTGATTGATGTTTTCACATCTAGATGAGATGTGTTCAAATTTTCCTTCATTAATTTTTGTTTACTTTACAGTTCACACTACACATAAAGATTCGACTTTTTTGCCGTTAGATTGTGTTGAAACACCTGTATTGAATCTTGAGAAAGAATTTAAAGAAAAAATCAAAGAAATTATTGATGAAAGAAACAAAGTGATGTAAGATTTGATCTTGTGATGTTTAATGATTTAACTTTATGTTTTTATAAATTTCAAATAAACTTGCAGTCAAAGTGAGTTGGAGACAATGGAAAAATTTCTTTCATCCGAAGACTTTAAAAAATTTTCTCAAAGTATTTTGTCACAAAACAAGCAACCACAGTGTGAAGCAACAATAAACCAAGGTTTTGATGAATTTTATTTAACTTATTTCAAGTTAGACTTATACAATAAAGTATTTCTATTTTCTTCTATTTTAGATGTGGATGTGTATAGTCCAGTTGTTGATCAGTCAGTTATAGATGTACTACAAGCCAGCCAGGCCAGCAATTTATGTGTTATTCACCAAAATAATTCTTTTTCTCTCAAGGGCTTAAATTTTTATAAATGTAAAACATTTATTTAGCTGGAGAGTTGGATAAAGAATTGGTGGAGATTTTAATGAGTTTGGATAAGGATGACAATGAAACACTGCTGCATGAATGTTCTCATATTGCAGGCTCACAAAGTAAGAATGAACATTCCATTATATGAATATTGTATTGAGATAAAAACTACCATAATTAGACATGGATATCAATGGTGATTGTGTACAGTTCCATTTGTGTTTAGTAAAATATGTCTTGTATGAAGTTTTTAATCAATCTTTTATTTTATTGTTTATTGAGAAGGTAGTGATGATGAACATGATGAAGATATTGATGAAGATAAAGAATCAATATTAATGTCACAGCCATTTTGGAAAGAGAATGAAGAGGAACATGATTCCCAAAGGTAAAAGTATCCATTTTTGTTTATAAAATAAAAAAATAAAAATGCGTGCGTTGATTTGTCTATAGTTGAGTTAACATTAGCTAACTTGGCTTGAGCGAACCTATCTGAGCTCAATCAATCAAAATCAATCAAAGAGAATTTCCAAATCAATCAAGGATACATGTTACAGGAAAAACGAAAACATTTGTTTTAAATTTTTCCGTTTTGTATTATCGTTGTTTTATAAAAGAAGTAAAAGATGTTTTTCGTGTTTACACAGGCTTATGCAAACCTCGGAGACGTTTGTGAGAACTTTGGAGCAGGTGCCAGCCTTTGACTCTGGTCATCACTGATGGAGTTCTCCCAAAGTTCTCCTTGCTTTTCATAATCCTGTTCAAACACTGTAAACATCTTAAATGAAAAATAATGAATCTTCTCTAAAGTTTTGAGTGGCTATCTTCTTCACTTGCAGTTCGGAGGATGATGAGGAAATGGACTGGAAACCACCTTTACCTATGCCTCAAGTGGATGGTCCTGGTGATGACGAGGACTCCAGGGGACATGTGTAGTCAATCAATTTTCACTCCGCGAGAGAATCTCGAAACACTAAACACGCGTGTCTGCGTGTAATCTCGCGTGTCTGGATGTAAGATTTGGCTTTAATTATTTGCTTGAGGTAGCGTTCCATGTTCAATGGTAACAACATACATCATCTTAATGCAATTTTATTTGTTTAATTTCCACGCAGGCAGAAAGTTCTCTCTCATCCTAAATGTACAGCAGCCGTTCGACAAACATCATTTAGTAAATATGGAAGGTAAATTTTACATTTTACGTTTCATCTCACGGGAACAATTTCTTTGTTTACCCATGTAAAATTATTGTTTTTTGAACATTTTTCAAAGTCAAGGAAAGCATGTGAAAAGAACATAGATAACATTTTCATAATGATAAAATAACATGTTTTTCTCATTAAAACTTTCACTTTGCGAAGATATTTTACTATTTGTTTTCCTGTGGCACATTTTTCATTTATCTACCAAGAGCCCATTTCCAACGAATAATTGAAAGTGACCGTTTTCGTTCATTGGTTATTGAGAAAAAGTTTTTTGCGAGATTTTAGAGTTGATTTTACAGTATTTACACCTTGTAAATTGTCAAATTTAGAGCAAAGTCCACTATGACTGGATGGTAAATAATTTGCCATAATATCTTAGGCCTGTTTGAAACGTCGAATTTTACATGAGCAGAATGCATGAACAAAAGATATCGAGGATTTTTTTCTCATTTTCTTTTGTTTTTAATGGATTTGGTTCATGTAAAATGCGACGTTTAAAACGGACCTCTTACAACGACATAAAGAATTATAACGTTCGCTCATAAAAATAAAAGAAATGAGATGCAATTAACAAAACATTTTTACTTTTGTATCGTGTAGAATTAAGTACACCTAAGAACTGATCAATCAGAAAACACATGCTTTCCGCAACTTGGGGCATATTTTAAGATCAACTCAAACTTTCAATGCGTTATTTAAATCTCTGCATTCCTACATACACGAAGAATATTTGCCGAAATCGAAATATATCTTTGACTTTTTCGATAACATGTTCAGGTACGTAAATGTGATTTTTGATTTTCTTTCTCTCTCTTTGATTGAAGTGTGAAATGTAAACGACATTAATATCTTTATGCAAAATGTGTGACCTAAATATACGTCTTCTTATAAAGTTTTCGTTTTTGTTAATGTTAATTCTTTGCTTTGTTTTAGACGTGAACATTTTTCTGTTAATGCGATCGAGAACAGAACAAATGTTGGTGGTTTTAATTCACCATGATGGCGGACTTATATAAATAAAGAAATTGATTATTGACCACGATGAAAACGTATTTGGCTTTTGTTCACCATTCCCTTGAGGCTGAGCTATTTACGAATTGATATTCTACTTCGTCTGAACTGCTTTATAACTGAGGAAATATTAAGATGGTAAGTATCTTTTCCTCCTTCATCGTTTTTGACAGTAATTTTACAAGACGTATATATATTGTGAGTCCACTATTCCGTTTACATGGCAAGCTATGAATGGGAAATCAAAAGATTTTGTTCTTTAGCGACGTTTCAATCTACAGTGTCTCCAAGTCAAATGCAGTTTATTGGCCTTTGGCTGTTTTAAAACGTTTTCCTGAGCATTTTTCTTTCTTAGATCACGATTCTCGTCTCGACAATTGATCGAAAGACAAGTCACTTTCAACCAACGATTTATGATGGTAAGATTTTTACAGCAACAAAATAAACCCATGAGAAAGTTGTGTTTATCTCAGGAGTTTAAATTACCTATTGTAACTTTACACAATTTCATTTTCTTTACAGATGAATAAAATTACGCCATTATCAAACGCCCAAATTTCGACATTTTTTAATGTGAAAATCTTGTGGGATAAAAAATTTATCTTTATCAAAAAAAAAACAAATTATAAAATCCTAATTTTCTTACTGCAGTTAATATTTTCAATGCTGTGTGCGACATGCACAGTTGTAAGAAATGGTCAATCTTGCCTCTGTGCTTGCCGTCGTCGACATGAAACTGAGGATGTTTGTGAGATAGCCTGAAAATTACCTAGATACGATGGTTAATATCGTCCATTTTTTTTCCTTCCGAAACAAGTTTATCTGTTTTCAGTTTGTTGGTCCAAATGTCTAAAATCAAATGAAAAAAATAGTAATTTATCTTTTTGTGAAACGACAATCCTTGCACATTGTAAAGTTTTTGTCCGACTTTAATCTTTACGTCTACTTTTGTGTCTACCTTTTTGTTTCCATTAGTCTTCGTCTTTTTGTCAATCTTTCGTTTATCTTTTTGTATATCTTTTTGCCTTTATTTGTGTTACCTTTTTGTCTATGTTTTGTCTACCTTTGTTTCTACCTTTTTGTCTATGTTTTTGTCCACCTTTGGGTCTACCTCAGTTTCTATACCTTTGCGTCTCTCTTTAGTTATATATTCACTTTATAATATTAAGAGTTATATCACAGGAAGAGGAAAGTCTCACAGGAAACCCACAGATTTCTATTCTGGGCCCTTTGTTATTCCTAATATATCTCAACGACTTGGCTAATGTGATACAATCCTTTAGTTAGATGATGAGAACTTACAATATAAAGGAAGTTTATAAATACCTTGGCACAGAAATAGACAGTCTTAATCTGAATCCATTTTAATTAATGCTGCGTCGTTTATGTTCAAAATAATGCGCGAAAATGGTAAAAAATGAATGAATCAAACTCCATACATACTTAAAAGTGGCATCAAATTCCAAAAAGCACAAAAATTGTACTTTTTGTAACTTCGACTTATTTTTATGTCAAAAGTAATATTCGAAGCCATTCATAAAATTAATGCATGTACGGATTTTCTTTTAATTTTTAATAAACCAAGAGATTAGAGTTTAACCTTTTCCTATGCCAAGAGATGAATTCAATTATGTCTTCATTGCGATGTTGTTATCTTTAGAATAATTCAGAAATATTTTATGGTTAGGATGGAGATGACACAAAAAAGACAATAAAATCACACTTCAAGTCAACTATTGTTTTGATCGACGAAAATTGAAGTCAATGACGAAAGATAAAACAAATCAATGTTTAAAATAATTATTAAAGTGTATTATATTTGAGATATAGAAACAGATTTAATGCTAATTAAGCGTTTCAAAATCTTGTACAACTTGATTAACAGCGGGTAAAACAGTGCTCTATGCTTTTATTTCTTTCAAATGCTTCACAGTGTAGTTAAACACCTCGATCGATTTCAGCGTAGCGAGCGTACACTTGATGATCTTTGCAAAGAACTGGTCATCTTTGAAATTAGCCGATAATTTAAAATTTCGCATGATTCAGCGGCAATGATTGATCTCCACGCTAGGAGGTATAAATGTAATTAAAATAAGTTTCTTGACCGGGATTTTTAATGCAATGTAGCTTCTATATTATACGTATGTAGTTATTAATTTGTTATGTATTTAACTACGTTTAATTAAGGCTCCTTAACGATCAATTTGTGCTAAATCATGGAATTTGTAAATGTCAGATAATTTCAAATAATGTCAAGGTTGAAAAATGAGACATCACCATGAAATATGGGATAGTCAGTCAACAAACCAGCAAAGCACCTTGCATGTTGATGGAAAAATGCTCAAAGGTGAATAAATGCGACTTTGACCAAATTTTTCAACGCGCTTGCATTTCACTCATTTTCCTTCGAAATCGCAACAAACAACATAGCATTCCATAGCTAGAACCTAGAACTCTTTTTTTAAATATTTAAAACTACAGTTATTTATTCAGTAATTTACACACATCAGCAAGTAAAAGTTGGATTACCTTTTTTTGAAACACCCTGTATCAAGAACTTAGATCCCAAGACCGTGGGGGTTCCCGTTTGGATAAATCAACTTAAATGTATATTTTATTAAATACGTGTATAATTTACGGAAAATAAAAAAATAAGAATCAAAGGAAGATATCAGAATTCAGTCCTTTAATAACACCATGACAACTCGTAGCGTATAGCAAGTCTACCAGTGCTATGAAAATAAATATTTTGTTGTTCAATTACTTTTTCGTTACTCACTACACTACATATGAGATGACAACAGTAAATATGGGCCAGACACACATAATGAAAGTAAAAGCCCCATTTTTCTTGGCTTCATCACTACCTAAAACATACATAAAGATAAATTACATTGTCAGGTGGTCACTAATGCCAGATCTATCAAAACGCTTGTCAGCAAAGGATTTTTATTGTGTTTAGTCTTTAAAGAAAGGAATGGATTTGTGGCTCCATTTCAAGGAACAAGATGCTTTGTTAGCCCTGGTGTTTGGGTATGTTTTCTTTCTCCTTTAGCTGACCAGCAACAGTTGTATTTTCAATTTCTGTAGGCAAAGGTTTAAATGGAGTGTTTGTTTGGTTCTTTTTGTTGTTTAATAAGAAAAATGTTAACATGTACATTATTTACATGTAAAATTGATAGTGCTTAGTAAGTTTTCTAAAAAGTCTAAACATTGGCTTTGCTGTGTAAATATACAAATTTCTGCTCACTGTGATAAATGGTAAATTATTATTTGTATTTAAAAGAGTTTTGTGTGATTTCTTTCTATTTACTGTTGAGGATTTGCACTTGATTGTTGCGACAATGTTCTTTTCTCGCTTACATTTAAATGTAGTAAATCTCATTTTTAATTTATATTTGGTTTTCTTGGGATCAGAGATAACCACAACATTTTGTATTGTGATTTTTTGGTAAAATAATTTATGTAGCTTGGAGAATCAGTTTCAAAGCAATGTAAAGTATAAACTATAGCAAAAGCAAGACATGAATGTCATAGCAATGAAAATGACTCATTACTGTCCATATCAGTAGTAGAGACACCAGTAGAAATGACTCATTTACTGTTCTTATCAGTTGTAAAGACATTAGCCAAAAATGTCTGGTCATGTCATTCACTCCTGAATGGATACATACTTTAAAGTAGGGTGTTTCTCTAGAAATATATTCCTAATATAAACTTTTTATAGTTTCTACACAATTTCTCTAATGTTCAAATGTTTTGGAAAAAAAGAAGTTCCTTGCAAAATGAAATACTAACTGTTACACACAATGCCAGAGCTCTTTAAGATGCACTGGGAATAAATGACATAGCAGACTCTTTAGCAGACAACTTCTGAATAGTTAGACAGGGGCGGATCTAGACCGATGCAACCGATGCGAATGCATCGGTCAAAATATTTAGATATTAAAATCTGCGAGTTTGCATTTTAATGAAATAAATAGCAAATATTATTTTCGAATTATTTAAAACGCACATTTGACAGTGATAAATTGTTTAGTTAACTTATAGATTTAGCAGTTTTAAGCTAAAATTTGTTCTAGAAATAACATTTGTGTTCTCCGATAATTTTGTCGTATTCCATGACACAAATAGCGAAAGAAAAGTCGATAAAATTTAGCGAAATTTTGTCGTGAATACATAATTAGTAAGTAATTTAATAGTATTCTGCCAGCACGTCACGGTAGATGGAAGAGGCATCGCTACGTCACAGTAGATTTGCGATGCATCGGTCCCGAGTCCTTTTCCGCGTGAAATCTACTGTGACATCAGCAAAACCATTGTTTTAGGGCCTCACGTCACGGTAGATTTTGCCGCTGAGCGATGCATTTTCCATAATTTTGTGATTGTGGGCACATGGCACCGATGCATTCAACTTTGAACTTCAAAGTTGAATGCATTGTTATTTGATCACTTGATATAACTCGCAATCATCGATCATGGCTGTCGAGAATATCAAACACGATCTGTGTACTCTGCTTCGAGAAGAGAAGTCATTTGATATTAATGGAGTGCGTCGAACCTATGAAACGAGAGTTGCTACTTTTATTTCAAAATCCTCTCCTTGGAATCCCTTTTCAAAGGGTAAAAATGGGAGAGATATGTCAAGTGAAATGTTAATACCTAAGCACTTGACAGTTCATTGGCAAAGTGGAGAACTAAGAGCTTTAAAGTAAGTAAATTTACCTTTATGCTTGCATGTTTTAAATGTAAATAGTGTACTCATTTCAGACTCAGAGTGTAGTCGTGTAGATAACGACGAACAATCATCATAAAATATACACGATGTCATATTACTTATGCAGCACTTATACTTGTATTCATATGTAATATAATACAAACTGTAATATGCAGGGTAGGTGCGATTTTAGTTGCATTTTAGTTTATGTATTGTATGGATTACATTAAAATGTAATGACTGTATTCCTTCTTCCAATATACTTATGACTTCAGTAGAAGCTAACATTTTCTTTTCCAAATAACCCTGTCAGACATTTAAGTTTTGAATTCTTCTGATTTCTAATTTTTAGCCACACAATGAGAATTTTCTTAACTCTGCTATATTTAGAACTAGAGGTGATGGTAATTGTCTGTACAGAGCCTGCTCAAAATTACTTTGTGGCAAGGAAGACCTATGTCATTTGCTGAGAGACTTGACAAGCATTGAGCTATTCAATCACCAGGAGTATTATGCTAACCACCCTTACTTAAAAGATAAGTTGCATTTTTAAGTCAGAAAATACTGCTTTTCTGCATCAGTATCAGATGTGGCTTTAGGCAATGGCTATGATAGGAAAAATCCAAGCACAAAGGTAATAGTAGTTAAAGAGGAAGCTCTAAATAATGCATGCAATGGTACTTATTCTTCACTTATGTGTATATTTGGTTTGTCTTCTGTCACTGGAATGACTATAATTTCAGTTTATCCCGAAAAGTTGGACCAGGAGACCAAATATTCACAATTTCTAAATGGTAAAATTCTTCCACGGCAAGCACACCAACATATTTCAAGTCAACTTGTTCAGCCTGCTAAGTTAATTTTAATGTGGACAACTACTGGTGCTTATTCTCTTCCAGAATTAGATATAGAATTTCAACCCAATCATTTTGTACCACTAATTGAATTTAATCAAACTAATAACTCAAGAGTTAATAATAAAAAAAAAATTACTGACCACTTTAAAGTTGATGTCTTACAGAAAAATAAAAGTGGACTTGAGCAACAAATAGACACAACTTTGGTAGCACCTGCAAAATCCTCACCAAGGGAAGACTTAGATGGCAGCAGCTATGATTGCTTGAAGACTTCCTTAAAACGTGGGTTAAATTAGTGATTGTTCATGTGCAAATATATTTTAATTATAGGTAAGCATGCTTTTCTAAGAACATAAGTAAAGCATACCATGCAATATAAAGTATTCGTTGTGGGATGGAGGATATTTTTGTACATGTGAATAAATCCTTCCTTCTAAACATGAGATCGTCAAATTGGCAACAAGCTTTCACTCAAATGCACCAAAACAATGACCTATGATATATGACCTTGCATGTTAACGCATTCAGGCTTTATTATTTTGAATGTAGTCGTATACCTACATCTTAGTAATGTTTTATTTAGGACCTCTTTCATGCGACTTTGAAGATGGAAAAGTATCAAATGCTTCTTGTCCCTTGTCAAAATCTGTAAAAACTGATATGACAGATGTTGATCCCTTGGATATTGGACATTTTGTATCTGTGGCGGCCCTAGATGACGACACAAAGCTAAGACTTATAACAAATCACTGGAAGCCTCCCCTTCTTTCAATTTTCCTTTTCTGAGAATGGTAAATCTTCAAGAAAATTTTGTGCTGGCTGGCTAGATCGTTGGTCCTGGTTGTGCTAATCTAAATTATTTGATGGAGCCTTTTGTTATTATTGCGTTTTGTTCGGTCATCAAACAGGACATAATGGTTCAAAGCTTAGTAAATTATTTAAGGAACCCTTAAGAAACTGGCAAAGTGCGGCAACAAAATTTTACCAGCATGACAAATATTCCCTAATTCACCGTGACTCCAAGTTACGTTTGTCGCAGTTCCAACCTGTGATGAAAGGTAAAACTATTGGCATCGACGAACAAGCCGATCATCTTAGAAGTGCCCGCATTCAATACAATCGTGACGTTTTAGGCTCTATTATTAAAACTATTATACTGGCAGGCAGACAGAATCTTCCCTTACGAGGCCATCGTGACGACTCAAAGTATTTTCTATCTTCTAATCCTGGGAACTTTCAAGCCTTTTTGAATTTTAGAGTAGACGTGGGTGACGCGAAACTAGAAAAACATTTTGAAAATGCAAGTAAGAATGCAACTTATCGTTCGAAGACAATTCAAAACAAGCTGATAAAGATCTGCGGGGAACAAATCAAAGAAAAGATTGTTTCTGACATCAATTCTAGTGAATGCCCAATTTACTCAGTCCTTGGTGATGAGGCAACAAACTGCAGCAGTATCGAGCAGATGCCAATTGTTGTAAGGTATGTTGACTCAAAGCAAGAAATTAATGAACGATTTATTAAATTTGTTGAGTGTGAAGGTATGACTGGCGAAGCGCTAGCGAAGAATATCGAAGATACTTTAAACGAAGTTGGGCTACTACTTTCCAACTGTCGTGGTCAGTGCTATGATGGTGCCAGTGCAATGTCAAGCAAATCAAAGGGAGTTACTGGTCGTATTTTAAAGAAAAATCCAAAAGCTTTGTATATCCATTGCGCTAGTCATCGATTGAACCTTGTTGTTACTAAAGCATGTGGTGAGCAAACTGTCAAAAACATGTTGGGGCATGCTCAAAAGATCTTCAGTTTCTTCAGCCCATCCCCCCTACGAATGCAGTGCTTGAGGCAGAATATGGAAAAGTCTGGGTTACGTCGTAAAAAACTAGGAGCTCCATCCACAACGCGTTGGGTTGAACGGATACGTACACTTGATGGATTTGTGGAAGCATTTGTACCTGTTTGTCAAAGTTTAGAGTACATGAAGCTCAATATGAATAAAGATTTTGATAATTCAAGTAGGGACGCAGAGGGATATCTTCGTTCCATAAAATCTTTCGAATTTATTGTTAATCTTGTGATTACATCAAATGTTCTGCATCACACAATGTCGTTGACTGTCCAACTGCAGCAAAGGATGATCGATATCGCTGAATCAATTAAACATATAAATCTTTTGAAGTCACAATTAAAATTTTACGCAGCTCGGCTGATACAATTCATGACCAATACTACGAAGAAGCAGTGGATTTAGCAAACAGAGTAAACGTTGATGAAAAATTCCTCGACTTTGCAATGTTCAGACAACTCGTGAAAACTATCCTGCACATACAGCACGTGAATACTACCGCATGAAACTAACCATCCCTCTTCTTGATCACTTGATTGAACAGATGGAATTTCGGTTTTCTTCAGAGGTGTGCGATATTTATCGTGGATTCTATATTATACCTAGTATTTTCTCAATTGCAAGGACGTTAATTGGAAGGAAGAGTTTATGAAGTTTGCTGTTGCATATAAAGAGGATATGCCACACTTTCGGAAAATACATGCTGAATTAGGATTGTGGGAAACAAATTGGAAAGGGGGCTTTGAGAAAGTTAAGTACGATTCAATTGCCGACACGCTTCGAACTTGTAACAAACTTGCGTTTCCAAATATATTTACAGCGCTTAAGATACTCGCTGTTGTGCCAGTCACTACATGTGAGTGTGAAAGATCCGTTTCTGCCCTTCGTCGAATGAAAACTTGGTTACGTAGCACAATGATCAACGAAAGGTTAAATGGATTAGCCCAAATGCATATTAATGATGATATTAAGTGTGATGTCGAAGAAGTGATTAATACCTTTGCTAGACAAAACCCAACGAGGATGCAATTTCTTGATATCCTGGAGGATAAAGAAACAGATGCTTGACGATGAGCTCCATGAGAAATTCTTAATGCTGATAAACAACCTACATTTTCTTTGAGAGTTATCTTGTTTTAAGCCGTTATTGAGAGACGAAGACCACGTTTAAACATTGATTTTCTTAAACATTTCATCTTTGCTGTGGTTGGAAGAAGACGATCTTTCAACATTGCTTTTATAATTGTTGTCATCTTTGCTGCCGTTAGAAGAAGACCATCTTTGAACATTGCTTTTATTAAACTTTTCATCTTTTTTACCGTTGGAAGAAGACCACCTTTGAACATTGCTTTTATCAATGCTGTTATCTTACAAAAGACGGCTCATGTTATTTTTTCGATAAAATTTACGCTTAAGATTTTTCTGTCACCTTTCCCAAATCGCTGGAAAATGCTTCTCGGATAGTGAAAATTCAAAAATTTTCTGGGGGAGCATGCCCCCAGACCCCCCTAGCGGTGGCTCGCGCCTTCGGCGCTCGCAATGCATCGGTCAGCTAAGGAGCTGGATCCGCGCCTGTAGTTAGATATTGCAAACTAAACTCATAAATATACTTTGTTAGTTCCTTACAAGTTTCTTAATAAAAACTGTTCCAGTAAATAAATGACAGTTGAAAACTTGAAAATACAAATGTTTGACTATTGTCAATAATATATTTGTACCCTTTTATAAATATACAACTGTTGTTATTTGAACCTTTGTTAAAACAAATCTACAATACAACTCTATTTAATCAGTTTTAGTATAAAGACAACATACCTAAAATGAAAAAAGAAATTGATTTTCTTCTTCATTGAAAATGAGCTACAAATTCATTTCCTCTTTTTCTATCTTCTTGTACATTTTCTCAAAGACAGGAGTATTTTAGCTTCTCGCAATTGAAAAATAAATAGAAGTCCAAATGCTTCAGTTTCAGTATCTATAGTTTGTTTATAACCAAATGAAGATTGTTCATATTATTTCAATACATGTTCAGAAAAAATACTTTGTTTCAATTTCTATCGCTCTAAACTGAAAATACAACTGTCTTTTGTATTTTTTTTTTTCTTCCTTTATGTCGTGAAATGTTTTACAAATACGAAGACTTTTAGTTGTTGGAAAAAAAACATAAATATAGAGGTCAAATGCTTCACTTTCAAGTTCTATTATTGTTATAAACTTTATTATGAAGGTTTTTCGTGTTTTTCCAATCACAGTAAAGTACAACGTGATGGCTTTTTCGCAATATTAACATGGTCAGGTCCAAATGTTTTCCTTGCAATTTCTATCACTCGTTCATAAAAATCGTTTGCTTTTTCGTACTCTCCCATTTTATCGTAAACGAAAACCAGATTGCTGTACGCTATCGCAATATTAACATGGTCAGGTCCAAATGTTTTTGTTTCAATTGCTATCACTCGTTCAAAATTTTTTTTGGCTTTTTCGTACTCTCCCATATCGCTGTAAACCGAACCCAGATTGCTGTACGTTGTCGCAACATTAACATGGTCAGGTCCAAATTCTTTCGTTTTAATTTCTATCGCTCGTTCGTAAAATCTATTGCTTTTCGTACTCTCCCATATCGCTGTAAACCAAAGCCAGATTGTTGTACCTTACCGCAATATTCACATGGTCAGGTCCAAATGTTTTCGTTTCAATTTCTATCGCTCGCTCATAAAAATCTTTTGCTTTTTCGTTCTCTCCCATATCTTTGTAAACCAAACCCAAATTATTGTACGTTGCCGCAATATTAACATGGTCAGGTCCAAATGCTTTCATTTCAATTTCTATCGCTCGTTCATGAAAATCTTTTGCTTTTTCGTACTCTACCATATTTCTGTAAACCAAACCCAAATTATTGTACGTTGCCGCAATAGTGACATGGTCAGGTCCAAATGTTTTTGTTTCAATTTCTATCGCTCTTTCATGAAAGTCTTTTGCTTTTTCGTACTCTCCCATATGTTGGTAAACCACACCCAGACTGTTGTACATTGTCGCAATATTAACATGGTCAGGTCCGAATGCTTTTGTCTGAATTTTCATCGCTCGTTCATGAAAATCTTTTGCTTTTTCGTACTCTCCTATTTGTTTGTAAACAACACCAAGATTGTTGTAAGTTGTCGCAATATTAACATGGTCTGGTCCAAGTGCTTTTGCTAGAATTTCTATGGCTCGTTCATAAAAATCTTTTGCTTTTTCGTATTCTCCCATATTACTGTAAACCAAACCCAGATTGTTGTATGTTGCCGCAATATAAACATGGTCAGGTCCAAGTGCTTTTGTTTGAATTTCTATGGCTCGTTCATATAAATCTTTTGCTTTTTCGTACTCTCCCATTTTATCGTAAACCGAACCCAGATTGCTGTACGTTGTCGCAATATCAACATGGTCAGGTCCAAATGTTTTCGTTTCAATTTCTATCGCTCGTTCATAAAAATCTTTTGCTTTTTCGTACTCTCTCATATAATTGTAGATCGAACCTAGATTGTTATACGTTGTCGCATTATTAACATGATTAGGTCCAAATGCTTTTGTTTCAATTTCTATCGCTAACTCAAAAAAATTTTTTGCTTTTTCGTACTCTCCCATATGTTGGTAAACCAAACCTAGACTGTTGTACATTGTCGCAATATTAACATGATCAGGTCCAAATGCTTTTGTTTTAATTTCTATCGCTCGTTCATGAAAATCTTTTGCTTTTTCGTGCTCTCCCATTTTATTGTAAATCGAACCCAGATTTTGGTAAGTTTTTGCAATATTAACATGATCAGGTCCAAATGCTTTTGTTTCAATTTCTATCGCTCGTTCATAAAAATCTTTTGCTTTTTCGTACTCTCCTATATGTTCGTAAACCGAACCCAGATTGTTGGACCTTGTCGCAATATTAACATGGTCAGGTCCAAATGCTTTTGTTTCAATTTCTATCTTTCGTTTATAAAAATCTATTGCTTTTTCGTACTCTCCTATATATCGGTAAACCGAACCCAGATTGTTGGAACTTGTCGCAATATTAACATGATCAGGTCCAAATGCTTTTGTTTCAATTTCTATCGCTCGTTTGTAAAAATCTTTTGCTTTTTCGTACTCTCCCATTTTAATGTAAACCAAACCCAGACTATAGTACGTTGCCGCAATATAAACATGGTCAGGTCCAAGTGAGTTTGTTTCAATTTTCATCGCTCGTTCCAAAAAATCTTTTCCTTTTTCGTACTCTCCCATTTCACTGTAAACCAAACCCAGATTCTTGTACTTTGTCGAAATAGAAACATGGTCAGGTCCAAATGTTTTCTTTTCAATTTCTATCGCTCGTTCATAAAAATTTTTGCTTTTTCGTACTCACCCATCTTATGGTAAACCGAACCCAGATTGTTGTACGTTGTCGCAATATTAACTTGGTCAGGTCCAAATGTTTTTGTTTCAATTTCCATCGCTCGTTCAAAAAAATCTTTTCCTTTTTCGTACTCTCCCATATTAGTGTAAGCCAAACCCAGATTGTTGTACGTTGAGGCAATATTAACATGGTCAGGTCCAAATGAGTTTGTTTGAATTTTCATCGCTCGTTTAAAAAAATCTTTTGCTTTTTCGTTCTCTCCCATATTAGTGTAAACCAAACCCAGATTGTTGTACGTTGACGCAATATTAACATGATCAGGTCCAATTGTTTTCGTTTCAATTTCTATCGCTCGTTCATTAAAACCTTTTGCTTTTTCGTATTCACCCATATCACTGTAAACAGAACCCAGTTTCTTGTACGTTGCCACAATATTAACATGGTCAGGTCCAAATGAGTTTGTTTGAATTTTTATCGCTCGTTCATGAAAATCTTTTGCTTTTTCATACTCTCCCATTTGTCTGTAAACCAAACCCAGATTGTTGTACGTTGTCGCAATATTAACATGATCAGGTCCAAATGAGTTTGTTTGAATTTTCATCGCTCGTTCAAAAAAATCTTTTCCTTTTTCGTACTCTCCCATATTAATGTAAACCAAACCCAGATTGTTGTACGTTGTCGCAATATTAACATGGTCAGGTCCAAATGTTTTTGTTTCAATTTCTATCGCTCGTTCGTAAAAATCTTTCGCTTTTTCGTACTCTCCCATATTTTTGTAAACCAAACCCAGATCGTTGTACGTTGTCGCAATATTAACATGGTCAGGTCCAAATGCTTTTCTTTTAATTTCGATCGCTCGTTCATTAAAATCTTTTGCTTTTTCGTACTCTCCCATAATATAGTAAACCAGACACAGATTGTTGTATGTTGACGCAGTATTAATATGGTCAGGTCCAAATGTTTTAGTTTTAATGTCTCTCGCTCGTTCAAAAAAATCTTTTGCTTTTTCGTACTCTCCCATATCTATGTAAACTGAACCCAAATTGTTGTACGTTTCCGCATTATTATCATGGTCAGGTCCCAATGCTTTCGTTTCAATTTCTATCGCTCGTTCATAAAAATCTATTGCTTTTTTTTTGTCTCCCATTTCACTGTAAATCGTACCCAGATTGTTGTACGTTATCGCAATATTAACATGGTCAGGTCTATTTGTGTTCTTTTCAATTTCTATCGCTCGTTCATTAAAGTCTTTTGCTTTTTTGTACTCTCCCATGTTATAGTAAACTGAACCCAGATTCTTGTACATTATCGCAATATTAATATGGTCAGGTCCAAGTGTTTTTGTTTCAATTTCTATGGCTCGTTGATAAAAATCTTTTGCTTTTTCGTACTCCCCCATATGATTGTAAACCAAGCCCAGATTGCTGTACGTTAGGACAATATTAACATGGTCAGGTCCAAATGTTTTTGTTAGAATTTTCATCGCTAGTTCAAAAAAGTCTTTTGTTTTTTCGTACTCTCCCATATGTTTGTAAACCGTACCCAGATTGTTGTACTTTATCGCAATATTAACATGGTCAGGTCCAAATGCTTTCGATTCAATTTCTATCGCTCGTTCATAAAAATCTTTTGCTTTTTTGTACTCTCCCATATCGCTGTAAGCCAAACCCAGATTGTTGTACGTTGTCGCAATACTAACATGGTCAGGTCCAAATGCTTTCGCTTGAATTTCTTTCCCTCGTTCAAAAAAATCTTTTGCTTTTTCGTACTCTCCCATATTATTGTAAACCAAACCCAGATTGTTGTACTTTATCGCAATATTAACATGGTCAGGTCCAAATGCTTTCGATTCAATTTCTATCGCTCGTTCATAAAAATCTTTTGCTTTTCTGTACTCTCCCATATCGTTGTAAACCAAACCCAGATTGTTGTACGTTGTCGCAATATTAACATGGTCAGGTCCAAATGTTTTTGCTTGAATTCCCATTGCTCGTTCGAGAAAATCTTTAGCATTTTCATATTCTCCATTCTTCCAAAGCAACTCACCTAGCTCGTTGTACGAGTATGAAACATGAATATGATCAACACCTAACACTTTAGCTTGAATTTCTGTTATTTCATAAAGTACTTTAATTGCATATTTATAGTTGTAAAATCTTTCCAAAACATCTACAAAATATTTGGAAAATTTCCAATTTCTTTCATCAAGTTTTTGTTTTCTAATGAAAAAAAAGAATGATTTTACATCGATCAACTTATTTAGGAAATGTTGAAATGATGAATTTGTTATGAATTTAATTAGATGTGGAATTATTTTGATTTCATCTTCTCTGTCTTTAAAATGATTTAGTGCCCAAGCAACTTGAATGGCAAGATCAGCTGCAGACTTTTTAGAATTATTTTCGTTTTGTTTACAGCCAAAGGTCTGCGATGAATAATTTATGATGGCTTCGTGTACAACGCTGTGCAGGCGGATGTCGTTGTTTTCCGTTTGAAGGAATAAAGAACAATGCTTTAATTGAAGACAGACATCTTCTGCAGATTTTTGTGGATCAATGCTTTTAATGAATGGTATTATAACATCTTGTGGTAAGGGATCGAAAGATATTATTGAGAAAAGTTTAAAAACATGTTCCAACAAGATGGATTCTTCAGCATTTTTTTGCACTGCTAACATAACAGTTTTCATTCCTAAGTGAGATGTGTTAATTTTTTGAAAATTGCCATCTATGTTCTGTTGCTCTCCTTCATTCAACTTATCAAAATATTGCTCCCACGTGAATGTCGGATTTACACTTTTTACACTACCTACGTAGGAAGCAGCATTTGCTAAGAACAACGGTTGACGATCAAATTTGTCTGATAAATTCTTTAAATATTTTTCATCGTGATTTGAAACATCAGAAAAAACAGATAGAAGTTGTCGACATTCTTCATTGTTCATACCATGACTAACAGAAATGTGTTTATTTAGACTTCCATCTGGTGGTATAGCATCTGTATTTTGGACAGTTACTACAATTTGTCCATTTTTCCAACTATGATCACCAACTTGAGGTAACAATGCATAAATTTTATCAAGTTCAACCACGTTATCTACAACAATCCACCATGTTTTCCAAGATTTTAGTTGTTGTTTCAGCAATAATTGAAAATCTTTGATTTTGTCTTCGCTGCTTATTGCTTCTTTCCGAATATTTTCAATGACAGTTTTATCATTGCTTAATCGTTGATAAAGTTCAGCATAAGTTTTCAAAAGAGAGTCGACATCTTTTCCTTCCAGTGTCATCACAAATGTCGTATTCTTTTCCCAGTCAAACGAGTTATACATTTCTTCGCACATTTGTCTAGCTAATTGAGATTTACCACTGCCAGGATTACCAGAAATATAGTAATATGTTAGTTCATTATTGTTAGTGTTTCGCAAGTTATTTAGATCTGCTGTGATTTGATTAAGTAACTCTGTACGTTTAACCACATCGTGATTTGATTTGCAAGGAAGTACTTGAAAAGAATTAAATTTGTTTCGTTGACATTTAATTTCATTAATTTCAGTGGATAAAAATGCTAGATCTTTAAATGACATTTCAATATCACAAAGCATTTTGTCAAATTCGGTATCAGATACTCTTCCATGGTATTCATGGATAAATTTGTTTCTAACAATACGAAGTGCATCAACTGCAGATCTAACTTTTGGGTTAACTTTTGTTCCAATTGATTTGGAATACAGTATTGCTGAAAATAATGTTGTACAATCCCAATTACTGGTGTCACCCACTTGAAACTTTGACAAAATATGGTTGTCTAAAGGTTTCTTTCTTGTTCTTTCAATATTGAACAACTTCTGACCACTAACGTTTGTATTATCCCATACTCCGTGGGATTTTTTGTAATTAGTGTTCCACTCTTTGATAAATAATTCAACAAGTTTCTTCTTAACAACATCTGAAAGAATTTTCTGAATGTAGTAGTTATTCTTTTCTTCTCTTGACTCCATCTACGGATTATAAAATGATTAAGATGAACATGGATATAGTTTATTAACCATACTTTATGGAGAACTGAAGTTTGTTGAATATTATCAGTTCGTAAATTTTCACTTGTATATGAAAGTGGTTAAAGAAGGTGGTTCTTCCATTTCTGTGGAAATTAGACAAGTTTTTAAAATCCTTCATAAATAATAATACCTTGTATGCCTCCATGGTCATTCTACCGTGTCGTCAAGAAAAAAGAAGCAAGTTTAGTTTATAAGTTTTAGTTTATATAAGTTTAAAACTTATGTAACGACTGCGTATAGAAAAAGAGACCAGACGGAGAAAGGTTATCGTCCCCCAACGCAGGAGTTTACTTGAGTAGACTTTTTGCTCGTTATTGGGGCGTTGATTTAAAAAAAAAACGATGTCATACGGGTAATTTTGGGGCTTCAAGCCTTCTGTTCATAAAAATTGTTGTTTTAGCTTAACTTTCAATAGACGTACACTTTGACATCGAAAGACGTTTAAATATATCAAAATAACAAACAAATAGTAAAGAAAGTCCAGAAGAAAAATAGAAAAACGTTTTACCTTGAGATTTGTCTAAATGTTTAATGCTTTTTGGTGAACGTCATTTCCTGGCGTACGTCTGCAAAGAAATTTTACCTTGAGATTTGTCTAAATGTTTAATGCTTTTTGGTGAACGTCATTTCCTGGCGTACGTCTGCAAAGAAATTTTACCTTGAGATTTGTCTAAATGTTTAATGCTTTTTGGTGAACGTCATTTCCTGGCGTACGTCTGCAAAGAAATTTTACCTTGACATTTGTCTAAATGTTTAATGCTTTTTGGTGAACATCATTTCCAGGCGTACGTCTGCAAAGAAATTTTTACCTTGAGATTTGTCTAAATGTTTAATGCTTTTGGTGAACGTCATTTCCTGGCGTACGTCTGCAAAGAAATTTTACCTTGACATTTGTCTAAATGTTTAATGCTTTTTGGTGAACATCATTTCCAGGCGCACGTCTGCAAAGAAATTTTTACCTTGAGATTTGTCTAAATGTTTAATGCTTTTTGGTGAACGTCATTTCCTGGTGTACGTCTGCAAAGAAATTTTACCTTGAGATTTGTCTAAATGTTTAATGCTTTTTGGTGAACGTCATTTCTTGGCGTACGTCTGCAAAGAAATTTTACTTTGAGATTTGTCTAAATGTTTAATGCTTTTTGGTGAACGTCATTTCCAGGCGTACGTCTGCAAAGAAATTTTTACCTTGAGATTTGTCTAAATGTTTAATGCTTTTTGGTGAACGTCATTTCCTGGTGTACATCTGCAAAGAAATTTTTACCTTGAGATTTGTCTAAATGTTTAATGCTTTTTGGTGAACGTCATTTCCAGGCGTACGTCTGCAAAGAAATTTTACCTTGAGATTTGTCTAAATGTTTAATGCTTTTTGGTGAACGTCATTTCATGGCGTACGTCTGCAAAGAAATTTTTGGAAACGAACTTTACCAGGGGCGCCAGAGCCACGGGGGCAGATAGTTGCCCCTTTTCACATTTTGAACAAATAGTAGACGTATATCTTATTTCCCGATATGCAAGCTCCCCACTTACAGATTCTTCGACTTTTATCTGATTCGAAGTCTTGTTATCTGGTGTATCTTTAATTCAGCTGTAATTTAGCGCGTTTTTCATAACACATTTTGATTAATTTCTAAGGACGAAATGAGCATTAATTTTGAAGGCAGAGAATGTAATGTGTAAGTACTGTTTACTTTGAAAAATTTACATGTTAAGTTAGTAACGTTTTTGTTATGAGGAACATAAAACTTCGCGTTTGTGGGAACGGTAACTACATAGTCGAATTTTACTGGCATAATTTTTCATCGCTTGTGTTGAGTCATGCTCATAAAGCAGAAAAATACGTTCAGGGAAATAGAATGTACATAGTTGGGTTTACCAATGTATCCGTTCCCATACGGTTAACACTTAAGAAACACTTATTGACGTCATATATGACGTCCATATATAGATTAGATATTATATAGAACAACTACTTGACCAATGATAATATTTGTTATTTGTAATGAATACTATATAAATATTGCTCTGTAAAACAATAAAATCAGTTCGTTCAATAAGTTGAAATTTGGAGCAATACCACGTGCTTTACGAGCAAAGAAAAATGCAAATAAAAAGAACAAGACAATTGATGATACGAGTGGTCAAACCAAAATAGCATCATTTTTTCATTCTCAAGAAATTGGTGGAAAATTGACACACGATAACGAAATATTAGAAAGGGGAGATGCCACCCCATCAACTAGCACTACTCACTGTGACCCACGTCATGAAACATCAACGGTGAATGTTGATTCACGGATCAAAGTTATGAGCGACTTCAACGATGGCAAAAAACTTCGAAGTAAAAATAAAGGAAGCTTTTTCCAGTCCAAATGGCTCAAAAAAATACGAATGGCTTTCATATTACCGCAAGAAGCAAGCAGCATTTTGTGAAATGTGTACAGAATACAGGAAAGTATACAATATTCACTATTCATCTTCACTCCATCTGGCATTGGTTTCTGTAACTGGAAGTGAGGCGTAGAACGTCTAAGAGATCACAACCAAAGCGAAAACCACAATGCTACCAAACAGAAAATAAATACCCAGCCTACAGTTGATTTGCAGAAAGGTAGCCATGTAAAAGAGCAGCAACGTCTGAGGCGACAAGGCTTGATAGCCCATTTTAATACATTAAAAACACTTCTTACACAGGGTGTAGCAAGTCGGAGTCATACAGAAGAAGATTCGAACATCATTCAATTTAACGAAGACAAAGCCATCGATCAAGAAGGATTACATGTTCTTTTAAAAGAAAATCAAAACATGTCTCACGATATTTTAGTTAAACAAGAAGAAAGATTGGTGTTGAATGCTTGAAAAAGTCTTTTTAATGAAGTAAATAGTAGTAAATTTTATCCCATAATTTCCGATGAATCAAGTGACATTTTGAAAACTGAACAATTATCTATTTCTGTTCGCCTTCGTACTGAAAACTACAACGTTTTAGAAGATTTTATTGGCGTCATGCCATGTGACGACGGTTTATCATCAGAAGATCTTTTAAAGTATGTTAAAGATATATTAGTGCATTGCAATTTGAATCCTCAAAGAATGGCTGCTATGGTATTTGATGGAGCTTTAGCAATGAAAGGTTGGCGGTGCTAATAAGAGATGAAGTTTTCAAACATGCACTTAATATTCACTGCTTTGCCCACTACAACGAGCTGGTATTCAAAAATGTTTGGTCGCTTTCGAAAATACTTGCTGACGCCCAAGATTTATGCTTGAAAGATCAATTTGAATTTATCTCGGTCCCACAAATAGTACGACTGAATCGGAAATTTTATGCTGTGATCATGGAAGAAGGGGAGATTTGCTGAAGCATATCACATATATAACCACATTAGCAGAACAACTGCGTGAAATGAATGTGGAAATTCCGTCAAAGAAATTCGCAGTGGTGCTATTAGGTAGTCTACCAGAGCCGTACGAGAATTTCATCACTAGTGTAAACGCCAGAAAAGTTGAAGATATGGATTGGGATAATATAAAAGTATCGTTGATTGAGGAACATCTTAAACGTAAAGAAAAGAAAGAAGATAAGAAAGAAGACAATGCATTATACATGAGAAAAAAGGGAAACTACAATCAGGGAAAAAGGAATGACTTTGGAAAAGTCAAAAGGCCTAGACAGAAATTTCACAACACCGAAAACCAGGATAAAACATGGGAAGAGATAAAAGAAGGTATGATTCCAATAAGGGAAGAAATGTTACCTGTTTCAGATGTAACCAGGCGGGACACATAGCAAGAAATTGTCCGTTGAATACAACCAATAAGAAAGAAGGAAGTTCATGTGTTATTGAAGGCAGTGATGTTGCTCTTATTCATAATATTAAATCCTCTGATGAATGATTCATCGATTCCACTGCAACAAAACATATGACACACAACAAGGATTTGTTTGTGGACTATGTTGAATATCAAACACTAACCGAAATATATTTAGGAGACAACTCTGTGATACATGCTCTTGGTGAAGGTCTGGTAAAGTTATTATACCATGTTGAGTTGCACAAAGTGTTGTATGTGCCAAAGCTTGCAAAAAATCTACTCTCCGTACCAGCAATGATTGCCATGGGAGCAAAAGTCCAATTTGATGAAAATGAATGTATTGTATGAAAGAATAATAAAAATTATGTTATTGGCGAGTTAACAGATGGTATGTTACATACTGTGAAGAATCCTGAATATTCTCAATCGCCAATTGATACATCTCCTCAAATATGCCATTAAAGTTTAGGCCATCTCAATCATGATCACATAAAGAAAATGATGAAGAAAAATATTGTGAAAGCCTGAAAGGAATGGATAATGGAAGAAATGAGAAAGCTGCAAACAATTGTGAAGGATGCATTGGCGGAAAGATGCACAGAAATCCTTCTCCTCAAGCAAGTCAACACACAGCTACTAAAACATATGAAGTTGCCCACATTGATGTATGTGGCTCCATGCAAGTTGAATCGAAGGAAGCAGACGATATATGGTAACATTTATTGACGACTATTCACGGTTTGCAGTTGGATATTTCATCAAGCGCAAGAGTGAAGTTCTCGCAAAGTTTAAAGAATTTGTTAATAATATGAAAAACCAGAGTTCAAACAAACGACATGTGAAGATCTCAAGGAGTGACAATGGTGGGGAATACACATCAAACGATTTCATCAATTATTGCGCTAACGGATGAACAAATCAAGAATTCACAAGCCCATATTGCCCAGAACAGAACGGAGTGGCAAAGCGTCTCAACCGTACAACGTTGGAATCTGTTTGATCAATGATATACACTGATGCATTGCCATTGAACTTTTGGGCGGAAGCTTGTAATACCGCCATTTATCTTCATAATCGAAGTGCCACAGCTACATTAAAGAACAAAACACAATTTGAATGCTTATTTGGAGAGAAGCCTGATCCTTCAAACCTAAAGGTGTTTGGATGCAAATGTTTTGTACACGTCCTAAGCTGTAATCGTCAGAAGCTTGATCAAAAATCAAACGAAGCAATATTTGTCGGATATCCTTCGGCACTAAAGGATACAAGGTATTTGACTTAAACCCAAACCTTTTTACAATCAGTAGAGACGTAGTATTTCTTGAAAACAAATTTCCTTTTGCTGAACAATCACATCAGAGGAATGTCGATATGTTAAGCGATACCGTCGTTCATATGGACGAAGAAGATGTAACATCAGAAGAAAAACAGAATGAAGGAACCAACGAAAATGCTGATACAAATGATCCAGAAGAGCAAGCGACACAGTTACAATAAAGGATGACTATAAATGATGATCAATGCTTAAGCAGGGAAGATACTGAGCAAGTGGGAGAACATGTAGAACCGTCAATTCGTAAGACATACCAAGATTCATTTATGGAAGATGTAAGGAATTTAGGACAAACAAGAGAAAAAAATCCCTCGTTGATTTCGTGAAGACGCATATCAAGTTGCTGAATCGCTGATTTCAGACATAGATGATCCTAAAAGCGTTAATAAAGCACTGAATGAAAGCATGCAGAATAATGGAAGAATGCCATGACAGAAGAATACTCATCTCTTTGGAAAATAACACTTGGGAATTGGTTGCACCATCGAAAGAGAACAACATCATCGGTTCCAAATGGGTTTTCAAGGTAAAGGAATGAAAATGGATCCGTTGACAGATGTAAAGCCAGACTGGTTGCGCAAGGATACTCACAATCGAAAGGAACAGATTACGAAGAAGTATTTTCTCCTGTGGCCAAATACACGTCTATCAAATCTCTGTTATCTATGGGAAATGCTCAGAATCTTGAAATCCACCAGATGGATTTCAAAACAGCATTTCTAAACTGCAATATAGTTTACGAAATTTATATGTCTCAACCAGATGAATTCGTTGATTCACGGAAACCTAATCACGTATGCAGATTAAATAAAAGCATTTATGGCCTCAAGCAATCGGCTCGATGCTGGTATGATACGCTTGATAAATATCTATTATCTATTGGCTATCGAAAGAATGATGCAGACGGATGTATATATGTTAAATCAGTAAAGAAGGACAATGGGCACATTAGTTTGTGATTCTAGGAGTTTACGTCGACGATATATTGCCAGTGTCCAATGATGTCGAGATGCTTAATGCAGAAAAACAAGCACTATGCCAAAAATTCAGGATGGATGATCGTGGAGAAGTTCACTTCTTATTGGGAATGCTGATCAAACGTGATCGCCAGGCGAAGACAATAACAATAAATCAACGAAATTATATGGAAAAGACATTGACAAGATTTGGTATTGAATCATGCAAACCGATGTCCACACCGATGAAAAATGGCAAGAAATGTCATGAAATGCAAGAAAACGAGAAGGTTTGTTGATGTGCAGACATATCAACAAGCTATAGGATGCTTAACATATTCATCAGTAATTACCCGTCCTGATATCGGAGCAGCTGTAAATGTCCTATCTAAATACATAGCAAAACCAAGCAATGATCATTGGATTGGGGTGAAGCGTGTTCTTTGTTATCTAAAAGGAACGTTAAATTATGGACAGAAGGAT